AAACTAAAATTTAGGTAAGTGTCTTCCTCATTTCAATCTCAAACTAAGTGATGAACTAACCATTTAATGATAGAACTTTAACAGTATATAGACTCGAGTTTTTATCCTTTATATTCTTACTTTTAATCATTGAAAATATTATATTGATGTAGTTTTAAAATAATTTAAAAAATTGTTATATACAGTCGACCCCCCTATAAGACGTAAAGATGTAAAGATACGTTCCATTCTTTAGGAATCCGATTTCTTACGATTCCTTCCAATCACAGCTCGACAAATGTCAAGTTTATAAACTACAGCTGTTTGAAAGGTTTTTTTCCCATAAAATTAATCGATTCTAGATTAATACGACTCAACATTTCTAAAATACGTATATTTTTTTGGAAATAAACCGTATAAACTAGACTAATCTGTATAGACAAGTCCTGAATATAGTAACCATAAAAGTTAATACAACAGAAACGAAATACAAATAAAACCCATGAAATTTAGAAAAAAAAAGCGTTTTACATGTGTAATAATCCATTAAAAAGAAAACGAAAAAAACATTAATAATAAAAAGCTGCAAAACAGTGTACAGATCAACAAAACAATAAACAAAGCAACTTTTTGAACGAGTACTAAAAGAAAATAAATAACATTGTAGAAGTACGAAAAAATACAAAAGTTAATTTACAAATGTGGTCAATCTATCTCTTCTAGTATAAATAACAACAATAAAACAATAAAAAATTTAAAATTGCTAGCAGTATAATAAAAAGAATCGGGCTCTTAGAGTAAAATTTTATTAAAATGTTTAGAAAATTATTTAAAGCTGTAGTTTCTGGATTTTTTATTTTACTGCTAATTATAACTAGCAGTAAAGTTCATTACACCTGGTTAACACGCTTCGAATCGATATACAAATAAGAAGATACTAAAGTAGCAAATAGAACTAAACTTAAAAAAAATTCTAGAAACGAATAGCGTAAATTACATTGTTGTTACGATGTTTTATTTTAAAAATAACTTTTATATTATTAATCTTATTAAATAGTTAAAATTTCGTCTGGCACCATGTATTATGATACTTTGTTTATAACAATTAAAAACAAAAATGTCATTAAAAAAAACACTAAATAGTAACAAGTAAATCTTGCCTAACCCCAACCCTACTAAATTCTCGTTTTAAAAGTATTGGTTTGATTTACTAATAGTTATAATTTCTTATATTTTACATGATGTTAAAGTAAAACACTTTTATTTTAGTTTTAAATATTTTAACAAAATATAAATTATAAGACATGAAATTATACATTTTTGAAATTAAATATTTTGCATAATTTAATTGTGACATTTATATAGATACATTATAGTGCACCCAATAGAAATAGCCTTTGGATATAAAGACGAAAGTGGTAAGTGGCACGGAATTACAGGACAAGTTGCCAACCAGGTGAGTAAACATAAAACATAAAATTCATTGTACAATGTGATGTGTAAAAAGCTAATTTTACAATAAAAAATGTAAAAATCATAAATAATTTGTGTAAGCCGCAAAAACTATACACATGAATATAAATATATTATAATTCTACTTTAGCAATAAAACATTGTACCTTAGAGCATGAACAGTTGTCAAAAATCAATCGAGCTATATAGAGTAACGAAAGTATACGATTGGAGATCCACGTAAGTCACTGCATAATATTTGATAGATTGATAACTAATGTATAATTTTAATCAAACACGAAATTGACTTCAAATACTATATGTCCGTATGCAAATGAAGGAAAAATTTCAGATATACATTATTAAAATATTAATACGCAAGGCGTAGTTTAAATGAATTTAAAAAATAGATCGTTCACCAAGTAAATATTTACTTTAAAATACATTTAAAAAAAGTTAAATTATTCATAAAATGGTGAATTGTTTCGTTATGAATTCAATAAAGTTAATATTTTGGACAAAGGTGAAATTTACTTTTAATTAAAAAGTTTTATGAAAAACGTTTTCTGATGGTAGCGTCATGGTTGCTTTCTTAAGCCATGGTCACACCATGCGAATTCCAGCTGCGCAGGCAACTGCAACCGCTGTTTCCATTAACAAGTAAACCACTTTTGGAAACCGGCGCGACTGCAACCGCGATTAGAAACAGAAAGTTTAATAAGTGGCGAAAATTCCGTAAATCTGAAGTAGAACGCAGAATGTCGGTAAACTCAATAAAGTAGTCAAACATAATATAGTGTTGTAATTTTCCGTGTCACGTTTTTCCGTGTTGCAACTTCAGCGAACAATGTGTCACAAAAAAAAGACGTGCACGACTCGCGCTTGCTGCAGTTCTGGTCTCCTGCACGGCTGGAAATCGCATGGTGTGACCACAACTTTAGTCTTACTGTGTCATTTAAACATTTGGTTTGTAATAATGTTTATACACAATTTTGAACCATCTTAAATATTGTATAACATCTAAGTACTTCTTTTTTACTCCTCTATCTCTCGTAAATTTATAGCTAATTCTGTTTCACCTTTTACTTAATCGTTCCACCGGTTGGTATCTGAAGTATCTGGTAAATTGTCTTAAGAGACAGTATTAGAACATTCTATATATAGGTAACCCCCGTATAACACGGCACTTTTCTACCACGAATTCATTCTATCACGTTTCGAGAATTGGTACCATCCCCGAATAATACGGTACTGTTATAGCACGGATTCACTCTGATACGGTTCGAGAAATAGGTAAAACCCTCGTACAATATGAAATGTAATAAATTTTTACATACTTAAGTAATAATAGTTCACGAAAATTATTATTTTCGTAAACTATTAGTACTTCAGTATGTAAATTTTCTTTTTTCCACTTTTGTCCATACACATGGTCCTTCTCAAAACATGTTTTGATTTTGCCAGATCTCGACGCTTCTGCTTCTGATGTTGCCAGATGTTTTTCCCCTATTCCATAATATTTTCACAAAATAATATGAAAACGTAATTATTAATACATAGTAAACTGGGCATTTTTTCTGCAAAAACTTCATAAGAATTAAATATATTTGATATATTCACAGAATTAAATTTTTGGATTTCGGAACGATTCAATACAAAAATTAGTATCACTCTTCGGACGTGTTAATCCTAAAACATCCTTAAAAGCCATTTCAAAATGTATAACTCTTTCAACAGGACAACAATTTCATTTGATGTTTTGACAATCAATATTTTAAAGTACATTTATAATTGCTTTAGCTTTTATAATTAATTTTCTATTCCAGGAAGCGAATGTGGCCTTTGTGGTTGCAGGAGTCAACCATGAACGCTTCTCTGCAATGGATTTTACGCCAGTTTTCGCTTTTTATCCTGTAGTTTTCCTTAATAAACTTCCGAATAAGGATTTCGACTGGAATTCCGTTACGAAGCCTTTTACCTTAAATGTAAGTAACAATAACAAATCTTAAACTATAATTAAAACTCAAACATTAAGTCATATTTCATGTACTCAGGTATGGATCGCTATATTATCTATTGTATTGATATTTGGACTAACGCTATATAAAGTTCTAGAGAAGGACTTTATCGCTGCAAAAACAGGAAAACGATGGACTGTATGTACAGTTTTTTGGAATTTAGTTTGTACATTTCTGGATCAAGGTAATATACTTTAATTAGGAACTAACTCAAATTCTAAGTTATATTTTTTAAAAATTCTTTCTAATTCAATTTAGGATTGAATCTAGAAAAAGTGAAAAGATTTGCGTCCAGATTAATGATAGGAATTTGGTGGTTAATGATTCTTGTTTTCGTATCCGGTTACAGCGGGGCGTTAATTTCTTTTATGACGTGTCCTTTAACTGAGCCTTTTCCAAGAGATTTTCAAGAACTTGCTGTTTTTGTCCGCAACGGTGAGTATTCCTGCGGAACATACAAGGGATTTCTTCCATGGAAAGAAATGATGGTAAGTGTTTTGAATTTAAAGATTTATATTTACTAAATGGAAGTACGTGCTCTTAACTGTGTTTCTAATTTCGGGTTTGTTCATTACAACGATTGTGTTTTATATTAATGTATTTATTATTTCTAGGTATCGACGTCAGAAAATATTAAAATTTTAAGAAGAAACATTCCGTCGAATAACAACTTCATGGATATAGAAGAAGGCTTTAAAAAAGCGCAGAATGAACGATTTGCATACATAATGACTAAAAACCATGTCCAAAGATTCTTTTCGTACATACATGATCGCTTATCCGATCAGAAAAAATTTTCCATTTAAGAAGGATCTATCTAACACGTAAAAATTTTTTAAATTCATTTATACTCTATACCGCACTTTATATTCATTTTTATATATTTAAAACAATTTTATTGTAGAATAACTCGCATGTTTGAAGCTGGAATTTCTGATAAATTATATTCTGAAGCTGAAAAAGTTGAAGAATTCAAAGAGGCATCAGAATTTAAACCGTTGTCGATCGAAGATATCAAAAGTCCTTTGTTACTTATTGGCATTGGATATCTCGTGTCTTTAATTTTCTTAACCATTGAAATAATATTAATTAAAGTGATTAAAATTGTTACCTGTAAACCACTTTACTAAATGTAAAATTATAGAATTTAACTATTATAATAATTTTGCTGCTCATTTTGGCATAGAGACGATAAAATTAGATATTTATTCATTCTGTCAATTAATTATACTCGCTAAATATTATATAGATACTAACTGATTCTGAATATTGAAACTCATTAATACAATAATTATATATAGTAATCGACTTTAGAATTTCCAATTTTATAATGTATCTTATAGTGTAAATTCGATACAGTAGAGCGTCGGTTATCCGAAAGAATTCCAGTTGGCAAGTTTAAATTTTCGCTAGTGCTCTGGCGCTGAAATCTTTGGCTACATCTTGGGCTACTTCAATATTTTTTTTGTTGGTGTGTGTGTTTTAGCTGGCAGCACTGGCACTTTTCTGTACTGAATCGAACGTTTTTGATACTAGATATAGGCACTGTATCTATCCACAATTAGCAAATATGGACTGCTGGCCAAATAGAAAATATCCGCTGTTGCTTCTTGCCATGTCTATTGCTTTGGCCAATGTTAATGTCGGATCTTGCAGCATTTTTTGTCTGATACTATCATCTCGCGTGCCTAAGACAATTCTGTCTCTTATAAGAGATTCTGTTAAGGTGTCAAAATCACATTCTTGAGCTTTTGTACGTAGCTCTGTTACAAATTCGTCTACAGTTTGTCCTGGATTCTGTACAAGCGAGAAAATTACATATCTACTATAGATAATGTTCTTATACGGCTGGAAATGGTCCGTGAATTTAGTTAAGATTTCATCCACTGTCGGGTTCGTGGCATTTTCCTCTAAATGGAAATTAATGTATATTTCTAAGCCTTTCTCTCCGATAATATGGAGAAGGATGGCTCTCTGTTGTGGAATACTTTTTGCAGGTAAGTCTATAGCCGTTGCATAAATATCAAATCGTTGCTTCCATAAACTCCGATTTTCTGGATTCGACGTGTCCATGGAAAATGGTTCCGGATGAGTTAAAGTATTCATCTCGCTTTTTAAATAAATTATATGTTTATTTTTCTGTTACTTTAAAGTAATCGTTATATTAATATACAAAGGAGAATGTCTGTCTGCCGCAGCATCAACCTTTGAACGAAGTTTCTAATTACTTGTTTAGTTAAGCTGGCGCGTGTTCGTTAAGTCACGTTTCCTTTACTGGCTTAATTATCTGCTGCCACCTTGTTTTATATGGCTCGCTTTGTGTTTACACGCCGTTCGTGACGCACTTAAGACCCCCAGTAAGACAGGAATACAAACACTTACTCTGAATACTTTATTCAGGGTTGTACTTGGACCGGACGATCTCTAGTCGCATACATTAATCAGGGCCATCTGTCTTGCACGTGCCGCTCTCTCTGGTGTTGCCAGATCTTTCCGTAACAAGACCTTTCTTGAAATACCCACAGCAACAGCTTAAATTCTGACGTGCATTCCAAACAAAGTTAATACCATATGAACGACAGAATTCCACCCCAATCGATTCAGCCTATCAAATTACATCTACACACATAATTAATATATAAAATAACAAGTAAAACTTTCTCATCAGTATATTACAAAGCACGTAAATTAAATTGTAAGAACTATACGCCATTACAAAACATACCCAATGACAGTTTCATAACACACGTGGATGAAGGACTTTAAACTACGTGAATAAACATTAAATATGCCGCCATCTTAAAATTGAAATATAAACAGAAATGACATCGACATTTTTTTTTTTAGGTTTTAATGATATTAATACTCCATTTTAAGCAAAATTTATTAATCTTTAGATTAAATGTGATCATAAAAGTAGTTTTAGCTTTAAAAATGTTAAAACCCTTACGAAGATATTAATTATTATTAAGTTATCTTCTTAAAAGTTAATCAAATAGATTTGATATTAATAACCGAAATGAGAATCTAGTTATTAATATATACGTAAATTGAAGAAGTTGTAAAAACGAAATTATCAATACACAAATACGAAAATAAGCGACGAACTGGAGGTCAAGTTCGCAGATGACATAAGGTGAGAATTTCGTAGATCTTCAATTAAACTGCCTAAAATATACTTTATTCGTATTTTAAAAGTTAGTTAACAGCATAATTTACTAGCAATATCGTTATTCTTTGTTTCCATTTATTTTGAATTGAGAGAAAGAAGATAGTTTTCGGGAATTGATCATAAAAGTTGATTATACACATTTATATAGAAAACAGAGCCGCCGAACTGGAATAGTAGGGCGCCCTCTGGCGATTTTATAATAATGTAATTAATACTTGTCCTTGCGCTGCCAATATCTGTAATGATACTATACTGGTTTAATAAATATTTCTGCTACTTCGAGCGCTCCGATCGCGTATTGCCATCAGTTTAGCTGGAGACAGCTGTAAACATTCGGAATTCTTTTAATATATGAAATTTTCTCGTTATTAACGCGGATATTTCTTTTCTTTTTTAAAGTACTGCTTATAAATGCTAGGGTTGTTCAAATAAAAAGGTACAAAATGACACTGTGTGTATAATTGAAGTCTTTATTCAAAGTAATCAGCATTGGCCTGAGCGCAACTATTCCACTGTTCAACGAGCTGAAGGATGCTGTTCCCAGAATTCCCGTGGCTGTGACGAGAGCCAGTCTTCCACTGTGGCCTTCGGTTAGTCGTCCGAGTTGAAGCATTTCCCTTTGAGATGTTTTTTTGAGCGGACCAAACAGATGGAAGTCACAGGGCGATATGTCCCGGCTGTAGGGCAGATGCTCGGGCTTCTCCCACTTGAAATTAAGCATTACACTGTGCGACCCTGGAGACATGTGGATGCACGTTATCGTGGAGCAGAATCACTCTCTCTGAGAACAGTCCAGGACAATTGCAATGTGAACGCCATGATGTTCTCAATTCACTGCCGTGTCAATTGGACAGAACACACAGAACTGTGTGCTTTTCTCCTGCGTCATGTGCGGGTGCATGCGCATGATGCACAACCATGCCGGACACTACACTTGTGACCCTAGATGTCTCACTAAGGTATCCCAAAGTGTCATATTCCCATTTCAACCGGTTTCCTTGTGACGTCGTTTCGTACTTTTTCATTTGAACATCCCTCATAGTATTTTAATTTGGTTTTGAACATTATTTATTTGTAAATATTGTTAATATTTATATTTCTATTAACTGTCACTTTCATGATTTTAGACCTTAAATTGATTAGACTGTTTGATTTTTTTGCTTACAGTTTGCATTCATTTTAAAATATTTTTGGGGAGTTTTAGTGAAGGGCACGATAATGCAGTCAAAAACAGTAACTCGATATCACACGCCCGGTGATAAGCATGTGAGGCGCGTGGCCACCTTAGCCATTAATCGTCGCATATTATTCGCATATTAGTTGATGTGGTCTCCCATAAATACACACGTATGGATGGGCATCTGTGTTAATATGTATATTTAATGTATCATTTCAGTTTGAATCTTAGTTCGTAATTTCAAACTTGTTAAAATAATTAGTATTTAAATATATTCGAATCTTTGCATTCCATAATTGGAACCAGGACTGTGGAGTTGCGTAAAAATCTACCAACTCCAACTTTTCCTTACCATCTGACTCTGACTCCGTTTCATATACATAACAAGTTGGTAAGTAAAAGGGAGTCGGAGTCGGCGGAATTTCTGACGACTCCGACTCCACAGCCCTGATTGGAACCCAAGTGATCCAAAACTCGAGGCAGATTTTGAATAAGATCAAAAACGTTTCTTTGTTTGTGTATTATTTCTTACCGGAAGTAAAGGTTTAACAGTGGTGTTTACATTTACTGGTAATTGGTATTGTAGTTTGTAGTCAAAAAATTTATAGTTAAGCTTGTATAAACGTTAGTAATATATGTTATGAAATGTATAGAAATGTTAAACTATGTGTTAAGACAGAATACATTTAAAGTGTTACAAAAAAGAGATTCAGGGTGGCTTTGGAGTTTATTGAGGTTAAGAGCTCATATTGTTTTTTATTATTTATTAATATTAGATGAATTATTGTAGTTTGCAGAGAGAAAAGAGTTAATGATATCTGTTATTCAGAATTTATATTGTGTTTTTGAACTTAATGAGAGAGAGAGAGGTTAAAGTTGAGCTGAAGAAATTTATGAACAGGTTAGAGAGGGGATTAATAGTCAGTAAATTTAGTTCTTGGATTACAAGTAGAGACTGCTAAAGGAAAAAAGAGGAAGTTCCAACTATTTAGACAACACATTCAATGTATTTACAGATATGATTAGAGATTGACAAACAAAATAGGTAAATGTAGGATGGCAAGAGTTCATTGTTAGATATTGACAGTGATAGGGATTAGTGATGACTTGGAGGCTAAAAGGAAAACATGTTAGTGATATTTTAAACCTATACAAATAAAGGACAAGTGTACTAGGCCATCAATAAATCTTCATTGATATTCTACTTTTGATAGTGCAGAATATTGTATAAATTACCAAAATACAGTGGGTGATTAGTTAACGAACATAATCTGCTCCAAGACTTTGTTCGCTATTTGAATTGTTCATTAACCGATTATCAACTTATCATAAATTTATATGGGAATTTGATTAATCTCTTCTGGAGACCCACAAAATTAAAAAATTATATACTTTCTTACTACGTTTATTTATATCTAATAATAAAAATACATATATACATGTTTTTGCATTTTTATCAGTCATATTTTGTTCTGTATGAGGGGCGTTAAAGTATCTGTCCAATGTTGATTGCTTTTCTCTTGTCTTCAGGATATTTCAGAAGTAATTAATAGCACTGTAATTGTAGAGATCCCCAAGAGTGTTAACCTCAACCTGGTTTGTATGCGATTCTAAGACCGTTGTTCTGACATTCTTTTACTTTTTGAAAAGATGTTTAATAGCAGATATTGGCATTAATACCTCTTTTTTTAGAAGAAAACATATCTCACAGAGTTTCTTGGTGTTCTTTATTTAAGAGTTCTTGGCATTCTTCTGTCGTCAGATCAGTTTCAGATTCCATTATGAGCTCTTCAATGTTCTTTATTTCTCAGATGTGATTTTTGTCACTCATTTAACTTCTTGAGTCTTCTTGATTATACTGTATCTTTCTTAATTAAGATTGAACTGCAGCCTACTGTAGACCTGTTTAAGCAATACTGCCCAGCAACATCAGACATCTTTTGCCCACTCTCTATCTTTGTTACTATACTCTCACCTTTCAAAAATAAAAAACGATGCAAAACTTAACGTGTTCTTGCCCGACAGTCTCGCAAATACTATAAAAAATTCTTTCTGTCAGAAGAATAAAAGGAATTCTTTCTGTCAGAAGAATAAAAGGCTCAAATTACAAGGGAGAGTTTCGAAGTTTGGAGGAATACTATTTGATTAGTATATACTGGGCCGAGTGCCGGTGTTGACATCTCCTGCACTCGGAAAAGTTTCGAATTGTTGCCTGAAGACAAGGGAAGATCAAGGGTATTTGTTATCTGATTTGTTCGTAGTCCGAACTGTTTGTTAATCGATCAACCACTGTATATAGAGCCAATGAGAGTGTAATTTTTCTTGTCAAAAATACAAAACTATTTCATCCCAAATACCTACTTTTTACTATACCGAATCAAGTAAAATTGTATAGCACACTTTATGTAGTATTAAACTTAGTAAATTACTTAAAAGATAGTTTGTTTTTATCCATATTAAATTTCTATGGCTATTTAAAAGTATTTGAGGATAAGCTATGGTTTTCCTAATTATATTGTCATAAATATGTAATAAAACAGTAAAATGAAAATTTATTTACTTATTTTTACCATTACCTATTTATTAAACAAATATATTATACACAGAACATTATGAACAAAACTTTCATTGACAATATGTAGCAATATAAGAGTTTTAAACATTATAAAAGAGATTCTTGTCTTGGAAATTGTTGAAAATAATATTTCAAATACTATAGCAGACATAACAGAGACTTATCACAATGCTACTGGTACAGTAGAGTCCCGAAAACTTGGCCTAATATGGACCGAAGGGTGACCGAGTTTGTGAAAATGCCGGGTTATCAGGAATGGGGTTAAATAAGAATAAGTGCGAGTGTTTTCTCAGAAAATACTGTACTGTACTTGTATGTATGGTTTGCTTGAGAATACAACAGAGAATAAACTGCCCAAATACCCTTAAACAAAGGAAAAGTGCATACTTTATGAAGGCATAGAGCCTTTACTACATGAAAATGAAAACTGATGAATACACTGTGTACAGTAATTTACCTGATAAGACAGACCTCAGAAAAATACTTTATGAGGCATAAAGCTGCCTATAATGAAAATTAACTAGAGGCTTTTCGCCCTACTAGGATGTGGCGAGTTATCCGGACTGCCGGGTTATCGAGTGCCGAGTTTTTGGGACTCTACTGGTAATAGTAAAATGATAGAAGATTGCATTCTGATGATACAAGTGTCATTTTTATGCTACCAGTAGCAGTGTGATAAGTTTTCTGTTATGTCTTCTATAGTATTTGACATATTTGTTTTAACAGTTTTAAATAAACTTCTTGCCTAACAGCGACTCTCACACCAGTTATCAGCAACCTGAGGCATTAACTGTACTTGAGAGAATAGCATAAGAATCAGTTTATCTATTGACTCTGCTAATATGACTGCGATATATTTTTAACTGTTCATTAATTCAAATAAATTAAATTTTAGTGCAGAAATAAAGATTTTAAGTTATTTATTGGATATGTGAACTCATTTTGCTATGAAAATAAAGTCAATAAAGTATATTTATGTTAAGTTAGTTAAAATATTAAATAAGTTTAGAAAATTGTTGAAAGAGGATGCTGCATGAAGGTGTAAAATGATGATGGTTGCTGATCACTTATTATACTTTTATCTGTTGTTTATTTATAAAACTTTTATGGATGATTGTTTTCCATTTAAATGAAATATAAGTAATATATAAATGTTACATCCTTAAAATATTTTTATAAATTTCTATTGTTTGTTTACTTTACCTGTAATTATACTAGTTATTTACTCAGTGTAATTAAACGGTGATTTAGGCTATTTTAAACCCTGAAAATTTATTTTATTTATTCTAATAATTTAAATATTATTATTTTTAAATGATACAAATGTTTGTTCACTGTGTCCCTAAACTCTCTACGGTGACACAAATCAAGCTCGCCAGTGGTTTAGTGAATAAAACTATTGAACACTTCTAGTGTCATTGGTTTATCCCTGGTCAATGGGGTGGCTGACATGCAGTGTTCTGAGTTTTCTTTGTTTGTCTAACACGTAAACAGAATCCAGTTTCCACACAGGAAGACCTGCTAGAAGTTACCCCATTGGCAGATCACCCATGCGTTCCATTGCCTTACTTCCTCTCAATCCACTGACACAAATCTTAATGCTGACATTTCAATGTTTTGTGAATAAAGTTACATTTCACCTTTGTACATATGGAAACTTTTCTGTAGAATAGTGATTAAACCAAATTTCTCTATGCACCACTACAAATTTCCTCAAGGAACACCAGTTGGTGACGTTCGCATTAGACTATTCCTGTTATGTGTATTAAGAAAATATTAGTTATATACAATCCGAGAACATAATTACTACAGGGACTAGGTTTTTTATTGAATAAAGAACATCGGAATGCCTACGATAAGTTGTGGGCATCACATTTTTGCTCTTATTTTGGGTCAATTCTGGGAAGTTGGCTTCGGTGTGTGAGTAAATCAATGCCGTTTGTCATTCCTCGAATTTATGTGGAAGTAAAGAGCCAACACTGTGAGAGTTTTTATTTGTATGGTTCATATTCTCAAATAGAAGATATCTATGGATCAGAATATCATAATACATCTCAACCAGTTTCACTTTGTTAGGAACTTCTTATTCTGCAACCATTAAAAATCATGTGTATAGTAGAAAAAACACAGTCGTGTGGTTACTGTGACAAGGAAAGAGTACAGTACGCAGTTGTATTTTCTAAATCAACCATAGGTATATAAGTTAATAAAAGACTCGGAGTTAACAATAAGTAGCTTATGAAGAATTTAGTGGAAAGTTTCAAAGACTGGGATTCCGTACTGCAATAATACTTTATTATTTACTCTACTGCTTGCATCTCAATCTTTTCAGAGAAAATTTGGGGTTTAGTGAGCGAAGAAACACAATGAGAGGTTGCGTCAAGACATTAAAAATATAGAAATAAGGTTTAATTAAGGCAAGNTGCTGAATCGAACGTTTTTGATACTAGATCAACTTCTAAGGTATAATTTTTTTGTTTTTATATTTTCCAATATATTTATTTTGTTTGTAAAAAATATAGAAATAATTTGTAACGATACAATAGCCACGAATATTATTTTAAAAAGTTTACGTTAGGCTTAATCGACGAAAATTCAACACGAAGCGACACGCAACGGAAAAAAATTTCAACACGGGATAGGTTAATCTATTTTTCGTACATGATCGGTTATCCGAAAAATAAGTTATCCGAACAACCCCACTTCCCAATTGATTCGGATAAACGACGCTCTACTGTATATGTGAAAAATATCGCGAAAATTTCATACAAGCACGTCCGTTGAAATTAATATGGATTTTGAAATATCTCCTGTTAAATAAGTCAGTTTATTTAAAATGTTTATAAACTTCACGTTTCGTAAATAACATCTTTTTGATGTAAAATTAATCATTCGTTAATTACATATATCATAAATCAAGGTATAATATATACAAAGTATTCAAACATACTTTCGTCTATTGCAAAATACAATTTTGTAATTATGTACACTTTATAAGAGTATGAAATAAAACGAAAATTAATGATACAGTTCACTTCAGAATTTGTTATTTATTATCTTATGATCACCATTTAATTACTTCTTACCGATAATAAAGGTGATAAAACACTTGCTAATTCGCTCCATGTTAAATTTAAATTATCCAAATTATAAGCCGAAATCACGTAATAAATTTCACGCCAGTTTAAATTTCAATTAATTATGTAAATTTTACTCAGAATTTCTCAGTAAAAAGAGAGTGGATTAATTAATCCCTTCAACGTTGTCATAACTTGTGAGCTAAGGACACCATTTGCACCAATCATTTTTGATGTCGTTTTTTCTGGTAGATGGAATGTATTCTGGTTAACTAAAGTAATGAATTTTGTTAATACCGACGAATACCTACGTGTATCTTAATAATGACGGTCTTAAACCAACCAAACGCACTGAAATAAGAAAAATATTTTGTAACTTCAATGCCAAAATGGCGGAATTTCTAGTCGCCGTTTTAAACTGTTCTCGATACTGCGCGATAACCGATGGTTCGAACGGAGCGGCCGCGCGTCCTAAACTAACATAACTTATTCTAGTATAAAGGTGGAGAACCTATGGCACGCTGTACCCAAAGTGGCACGTCGAAAAAATCATTTGTCACGTAACGTATTTTACGATATCGTTTTATCATCTTTTCAATCAGTTGTGGTAGAAAGTCTAATTACAGTATATTATTTTATACTGTAATTACAGTATATTTACTAATCTAATTACAGTATATTATTTTGTTTATATAAATATAGTTTTAAAAAACTCTTTTCGCTCTGTGGGCACTAAGAGGGCTTTTTTATTAGCAAATTCCAAATGAAACAGTCAGATGATGAAGAATGGATCACTACCTGAAAATGTTCTGGGGTTTTGATCGCGGGTCCACAAGAGCGATAAGCTACCATTTTGACCGCTCGGCCATTCCGCCAAATTTAAATATAATTACTACAAGTCTGAACGGTCTGCACGCATAATCATTTTTAAAGAAAAGTCTGCTTAATATGCTTACTATGTGGAACGCATAACTCAAAAAGGTTCGCAATCCTTGTTCTAGTAGATTATTAAAATTATTACTCACGTTAGTAGTCCTTTCTTTTTCCTTTCCTACGTTTCTTCCTTGACGAATTCGATTCCTCTGCACCTGTGGACGATCTTCTCTTTGTCTTATTACTCATTTTCTTTTTTGTGTTGGCTTGTTTTTTCCCCGTTTCCTGTTTTTCCTTTTTTTTCATGTTATAAACTGGTGTGGCAAGTACTCTTTCTGGACCTATCCATTTCGGTGTTCTTCTGGTATTCGGATATATCATACTCAAGTGTTTTACGAATATTTGGAATCTTTCTCCCGGGAATCTAGCTGGCCATTTCCTTAACTTCTTATACATAAAGGAATAAATGTATGAGTGCGACAAATCATCTGTGTATTATTTTTTTATTTTTTAAATAACCCCATAATCTTTCAATGTTTTGAGTATGATCGCCCGTTTAGAGGTTTACAAAGTTTTTTCATGAAGTGTTCTATGTTCATGTCGTCTATGTGATTATATCCATTCCATTCATCGGTTGTAACTAGACTACCAGAATTTACATATTTAGACACAATCAAATTTAGCGTGGTTTCAGATCTGTCGTTCAGTTGACAAATAAAGCAATATTGTCTTCTCTGCATATTCCTCCTCCGACCCATTTCGTAGATTTCACTATACGCCCTTTTTATTATTTGCGTTTGCATATTACTGTCTCATTTAATTCGAGAATTTTATTAGGACCTCCGATTATTCATAGTTATAAACAAAAACGTATGTGGTTAGAACGGTTTTATATGGCTCGCTTTGTGTTTACACGCCGTTCGTGACGCACTTAAGACCCCCAGTAAGACAGGAATACAAACACTTACTCTAAATACTTTATTCAGGGTTCTACTTGGACCGGATGATCTCCAGTCGCATACATTAATCAGGGCCGTCTGTCTTGCAATTGCCGCTATCTCTCTGGTGTTGCCAGATCTTTCCGTAACATGTTTCCTTTTTTTTTTAAATGACTGAACACACAAAACTTAAATACATACATATTTACAAATTGAGTCGAACAGGGGTTTTGATAATTCTTCCTGAACTAGTTTTTCTTGTCGGAGTTTGAAAGTCCTTTTCTTTGGAGATTACTCCTTCTTCCTTTTCCTCAGTTTCTTCCTTTCCATTTTCTTGTTTCTCTTCTCCTTTCTCTTGAGCTGCTTTTCTGGGGCTGTGATTCGGTTTCAGATGCACTCTGTTTCTTCGGTACTGTTGACCGTGTGAATCTTCTATTAAGTATGATCTGGGTTCATTTAGAGGTTTTACAACAGTTGCCGGAGACCATTCTTTTCCTGTATGCACTAAAACTTGTGTTGACGGTCTCAACGGATTGAGGGGAACACTACCTCTGTCATAATACATTGACATCTTGTTCTGGTTCTGCTCCAGTTGTTGTTGGATATCCTCTCTACGAAATTGGCATTGGTGATAATGGGATGATTTGCATGGAAGTGTTGACCTTATGTTCCTTCCCATGCACAGCTGAGCTGGTGATGGTAACGAGTTCCTAGGAGTGTTTCTCCAGTTTTGCAAAGCCAAATACTGCTCTTGACCTGCTTCTGTTGTCTTTTTAAGTATGTTTTTTATTGTTTGCAAATGCCGTTCTATGTGGCCATTACTCTGAGGATATCGAGGACTAGATGTACTATGCCTGATACTCCATTTGTAAAAGCGATTAAAAGCTACTGACGAGAATGGGGGACCATTATCAGTCATTAATATTTCTGGACTTCCAAATCGCGAAAAAGTTTCTTTGAACTTGGGAATAACTTTGGAAGCATCAGTCGATGGCATTTTATAAATTTCTGGATAGGCACTGTATCTATCCACAATTAGCAAATATGGACTGCTGGCCAAATAGAAAATATCCGCTGTTGCTTCTTGCCATGTCTATTGCTTTGGCCAATGTTAATGTCGGATCTTGCAGCATTTTTTGTCTGATACTATCATCTCGCGTGCCTAAGACAATTCTGTCTCTTATAAGAGATTCTGTTAAGGTGTCAAAATCACATTCTTGAGCTTTTGTACGTAGCTCTGTTACAAATTCGTCTACAGTTTGTCCTGGATTCTGTACAAGCGAGAAAATTACATATCTACTATAGATAATGTTCTTATACGGCTGGAAATGGTCCGTGAATTTAGTTAAGATTTCATCCACTGTCGGGTTCGTGGCATTTTCCTCTAAATGGAAATTAATGTATATTTCTAAGCCTTTCTCTCCGATAATATGGAGAAGGATGGCTCTCTGTTGTGGAATACTTTTTGCAGGTAAGTCTATAGCCGTTGCATAAATATCAAATCGTTGCTTCCATAAACTCCGATTTTCTGGATTCGACGTGTCCATGGAAAATGGTTCCGGATGAGTTAAAGTATTCATCTCGCTTTTTAAATAAATTATATGTTTATTTTTCTGTTACTTTAAAGTAATCGTTATATTAATATACAAAGGAGAATGTCTGTCTGCCGCAGCATCAACCTTTGAACGAAGTTTCTAATTACTTGTTTAGTTAAGCTGGCGCGTGTTCGTTAAGTCACGTTTCCTTTACTGGCTTAATTATCTGCTGCCACCTTGTTTTATATGGCTCGCTTTGTGTTTACACGCCGTTCGTGACGCACTTAAGACCCCCAGTAAGACAGGAATACAAACACTTACTCTGAATACTTTATTCAGGGTTGTACTTGGACCGGACGATCTCTAGTCGCATACATTAATCAGGGCCATCTGTCTTGCACGTGCCGCTCTCTCTGGTGTTGCCAGATCTTTCCGTAACAAGACCTTTCTTGAAATACCCACAGCAACAGCTTAAATTCTGACGTGCATTCCAAACAAAGTTAATACCATATGAACGACAGAATTCCACCCCAATCGATTCAGCCTATCAAATTACATCTACACACATAATTAATATATAAAATAACAAGTAAAACTTTCTCATCAGTATATTACAAAGCACGTAAATTAAATTGTAAGAACTATACGCCATTACAAAACATACCCAATGACAGTTTCATAACACACGTGGATGAAGGACTTTAAACTACGTGAATAAACATTAAATATGCCGCCATCTTAAAATTGAAATATAAACAGAAATGACATCGACATTTTTTTTTTTAGGTTTTAATGATATTAATACTCCATTTTAAGCAAAATTTATTAATCTTTAGATTAAATGTGATCATAAAAGTAGTTTTAGCTTTAAAAATGTTAAAACCCTTACGAAGATATTAATTATTATCAAGTTTTTATTTTAAAAATTAATGAAATAGATTCGATATTAATAACTAGTATTATAAGCTAATTATTAATATATACTAACTTTGGAAAAAGTCAAAAAGGAAATTATGAATACATAAATACGAAAATAAGCGACGAACTGGAGGTCAATAGTATTTGTATATGTATAGAAACAAGTGATCAGAGTAATGGGATGAAGTAATGATGTTTATAAGAGGCAAAGATTATCCAAAGTTGATTTTTAGGACATATTTATTTATCTTTATGCATCATTTCAATTACTTTTGGGCAGACACACCCTGTGATTTTGCCTTATTTTTTGTAATATAAATTGTGCATTAATCAAGTGCTTACATTTTAGAGAAGTGTAAACGGTGAATCAAATGTTAATGCTATGCGTATATAAACATCCCGAGAACCCGACGTATTAATAATTGTCCAACTGTCGGCAAAATTAATCGGGCAGATATCTGTCTGATGTGTCGGTTTCTGCTTGATTAATTTGGCTGATGGTGGAGCGTTTATTAATGCTATGCCAAAATTAATGGCAATTTTAACGTTTTTGCATCAGAGTCGACAAAGAAACATTAAAATATTCAGGTAAATGTAAAATTTTCTTACCTGGTGTTATAAAAGTTAACAATTAAAATTAAATTGTATATAATTCGTCTCTGTAATCCAAAAATTTACTGGTAGACGGACTCACGGCAAAACTTTTAGTTAGGAACTCACTTTTATTCTTTAAAAAATGACATGTGCATTTCAGGTTGGTACATACATCCAATACATTAGAATCCTTTATTTAATCAGTCGCAATAACTTCATTATTTATTACTATGTAACGCTTTCTATCATTTTGTACCAGCGAGAATCTATTTGTATACCATCAGAAATATTTATTAAATTATTTTGGTTTTTCTTAATTTCTAAGTGTTCCTTAAATTTACGTTTATATACAGTCGACCTCCCTATAACACTGTTGATAATTTTGTTTTATATGAATTCTATGTTGTACGAGTCACTTAGATTTTACAAATACATGTGACGTGTTGTGAACGGCTTACGTATTTGTAAAATCTAAATGACTCGTATAACATGGAATTTGTATAAAACAAAATAATCAACAGTGTTACGGGGGGTGTCGACTATAATTAAGAAAACCCTTTGAATTGAGTAGAAAAATGAAATGAATATTAGGAAAAACACTTGTAGAAATAACTGGAAACACATAAATTGAAATATTAATAACTCTACACCTTCTATACTTTTACAGCAGAGTTTTAATGAATGTAGTGTTAATGACATTTTGCAATGTTTATTAATGGTCATACATGTACATCTTTATATTTTGCAATGGAATGCAATAAATAGAACAGAAAAGTTCAGAGATACAAAGACATTGGCTCTACACAAAGTGTTTTGCTGGCAGAAAATACGGTAAGGGAAAGGGGAGAGAAAGGAAGGAGAGGAGATAAACGGTAGAGAAAGATAGGATACCTCTGAATGGCATACATAAGGCTACAATAACTTCTATGTTTGATGTTGGCATGCAGTCTTAGGCTGCAAGTCCGTAGTAACCCTAAGGGTCTAAACAAAACCTGAAGCGTAGTGAACACCAATAATTGATATATAAATGGCTTGCTGTATTGTATATTACAAATGTAAATCATCTCTGTAATCCAAAAAAACACACTTCGGTAGGCGTGAATTGGTGTGAAATATATCTACCAAAGTGTGTTTTTTTTATTACAGAGACGGATTTACATTTGTAATAACCCAATAATTGAATGTCACTATGAATAGCTAAGTGTAGAAGTTAGTGCCAAGCTAATTGCCATCTGTGCCCCTGGAGTGAGTGCTCTCCAAGACCACTCGAGCCTTTATATTCCTTCACATTCATATTTCTTAGCGGGGGCTAAGGGACATGAATGCGAGTAGATGATGGAACATTGTACATGTGTGAATGAGTCGGTGTGGGTTGCAAGGCCAGTTGTACTTGGGAGAGAAAATCTGATGCAATCCCATGTAAGTTTGACTTGCGTCAGGGGTTTGTTTACATGCTTACATTTAGACCTTGAATGGGTAGTACGGCACAACAGCCGTACTACCCATTGAAGGTCTAAATGGGGCAGGAAATGGTTGTGTGTTTATTGAATCATGTACCAGAGTAAGTACTGAGATTTTAGTTGAGGAATTGACTGTTCAAGTTTTGTAGTTCATATGGTTACTTTAAAGTCTGAATTTTTTTAGTTTCTGTGTCATTTTCTCCATTCTGCAGTAATTTAGTAGACTCAATATTGGCCATAAAACAGGCTCAAAACATACGTTACTTGATTAAAACAGCAAAATCTTTTATAAAATCATTGCAATTTAATTTTTCATATATTTCGTGCTCAATAGATAAAAGTGTCAGATTTGTTAATCGTTCCTGTGTCGTTGTTGTCCGTAAATAATTTTTAAATAGTTTTAATTTAGAAAAACGTCGTTCTGCCGACGCTGTCGAAATCGGAATTGTTAATAATATTTTGAAACTAATGGCCAGATTTGGAAGAGTTGTGCATATTTCTCAAGGAACCTGTTTCACTTTTTACACTAGAATCCTCTGTCACATCATTTAATTCTTCTAATTCTGTTATAATTTTGTCTAAATCAAATCTAACTGTCTTCATAGAATTTATTCGGCATGCCCAACATGTATCTGATAATGGTTTTAGAATTTTTCTCCTTTCACCTTTTTAGGGTAGAAAAAGAGAGTTTTTATCAAGCCTGTCGTGGGTTTAATCATCTCCGCAATGGGGCAGCTGGAAGATGAGAGATTGTACTGGTACTGTGCAAATAACTGGTATATCAGACCGAAATCAATACATGTTTACAATATTGCTATTTCGATATTTCACACTGATGTACCAAAATATTGATATATTGTATGAATCTCTATAACAAGCCTAATGTTGATATCAATGTCAAAATTTTGGCTTAGCACATGGCTGAATGTGCTAAGCCAGAATTTGTACAAACTCCCTTAGTTAATTAAACATATTCATGTTGATACTCATAACTGGAGAATAAGCATATATAATAATAGTCTAGAAAGGAAGAGCAATGAATTAATTGATTTCGGTGATGTAAAAGGATGGGAGATTAAGAGTGAGAAAGATGTCGACAGGTATAATAAATTAATAAGGAGCATAAAAGAGATATTTTAAGCCACAAGTCTTATAAATCTACATTTTTAAAACATTTTTTATTAACATAGATATAAACAAAGAAGCAATGTCTGACATTTGACAAGCTTACAACTTGGATGATTTTTACATGATAATCAAATTATTAACTAAATTGCACATTATCACCTAAAGATCGGCAATTAGGAGTTTATCATCCATCTTCTACTAAGTTTAATAATCATTAACTAATTATCGATTTAGTTTATTTAACTATTCTGAAAGAAGAGTGTACGCAAATGCATGGGCATCTGTGTACTCTCCAGATAATTATAATTTATTTTCAATAATTATCAAATGAAATCTAGTGAATAGAAGGTTACAGTTTTAAATGTTTAATTTAATAACAACAGAATTGTCTGTATGGTTAAGTCTCTGATAAAGACAGAGATTATCAAAAATATTTTAAAAAGTAGTCTTTGTATATTTACGGCAACGGATTGCATCTTGGCAAAGATCACTCCAAAGCATCGCCGGCAGTGACTGCATTAAGAGTAGGCATCGTAGATGACTTTATAATATTTTTATTGACATATACCTTTATTGACATATAATATTTTTATTCACGTAAATGCTTTCTATCAGTACAGTATAATTTTTAAACTGTTTGTTTAAATTAGGCAAAGAAATTATAATATTTTGGATTGTTTCAGATAAAAAATGGGGACCCAGATACGATTAAAGTGGATAAATCATCAGTCAAATTTGTTAACCAAGTTCCAGCAATATCTCCTGAGCGAGAGATTTGTAGACGTGACGATATGCTGCGACGGTATGAGTCTCAAAGCCCACAAAGTCGTCTTGTCGTCGAGTAGTACTTACCTCGAGAAATATTTTTCGGAGGAAGCGCCTCGAGAGACTACCTTTTCTATCAGAGGTGCAAAGTTTGAGGAAATGAAAGCAATTGTGGACTTTATATATAGCGGTGAAGTCGACGTCTTCTCTCATTCTTTGACGAATATTTTACGAATTGCACAAAATCTTAAGATTCGGGGCTTAATGGAAGTTGCCAAAGACATGAACTTGACAGTGTTTCCACAGGAATATTCAGACGTGACTACATATATTGTTCCAGAAATCTTAACTCCACCAAATGTGGAAGAAATGAAAGGAATTACACCCATAAATATTCTTCCAGTGTGTCAAGTAAGTGATGCAAAGGGGACAGAATTTAACACAGAGTCTACCAAGCGCGATTCTTTAGAAATAATTGCAGCAGACATTCCAGAAGTTACAAAAGATCCAAAAGAAGAATTTCAGACTCATGACAAAGGCCCAAAATTAAGGAAGAGAGGCAGGAAAAGAAAAATTGTTTCTGTTAACATGACCGGCAAAACTCGTTCTCGGCGGAGAAGCATAACTCAGAGTATCGTAAGTATTTTTAAACATCAATTATTTGATATAATTTTGATTTAATGTACACAGCGTCGCCACATACCTCTGTTACTTTAGTGATGTTGCCCCGAAACATTATAATTAAAACAACTTTTTGCCTCAGTCTTCACGTTGGTTGATTTGCGCTTCCTCCTTGACTGCCATCGGCATAGCTGATACAATTATAGAAGTTAGTATTTCTGAAAGTGTTGTACTTCAATAAGTTCAAATTATTAGGCACAGGATTGTAAGATGTTTCCTGTACACTTTTGTAGATGCAGCCATTATGTAGTGTTATTCCTTTGTTCTGATCAAGAAAATACCCACGAGGTGCATTATTTACCACTACAAAATAGCTGCATCTGTATAAAAGTCTATTGGAAGCCATCCTACGATTGTATTGTTATTCTGGTCGCCTCACGCAATTCATGCTTAAAATCACTATTTAGTTAAAATTAATTTAGACACATATATTTTCCAATAAATTTGTGTATAGTATGAATTATCATACTCATGTTGTGATAAGTACTTATGAAATATCAGGCTCACCAGTTGCTAAGTGGTCTTTATTCCTTGAACACTGGAAGTTCGGTTGTGGGTTTGCACCTTGCTCAAACGGGCTGGCCATGTGGAGTTTTTCTGGTTTTCTTTATGTCTCTAACGCCTAAATAGGGGCAAGTTTTCCTTAAAAAGACCTCTCGGAAGACAGATCGCCCAAGTGTTGCATTGCCATAACTGCAACAAACCAAGCCAAACTTCTCAAATATAAGAAGAGGTATATGGAAATACTTATTTAAGGCATCAGTAATTTAAGCGCGATTGCACTTCCTTTTAAAAATTGAATTTTTCATGCTAATTTTCCACAACTATTTGAATTATTTTAATAATATAGTATTACGATCTTGAAATATTTAGCTGCTTTTTTTAAATATAATTTGTCACTACATTTTTTAATAGTTACTTTACCAAATTTCTGACATCCAGCGGTTTGAGCCTTTTCTAATCCGGACAAAATTATGCGAGAAAACTCAAAATTTTCGCCGCTGCTATACTAGTTTACCGGACGTCACGGGCGGCATTGCGTGTAGGGTACGCTTATTTACATTATTTACACTGGTCTTGTTGGTAGTGATATTTCCTTAATCTGGCAAGGCTTTCCAGGATGCCAGAAATTTGGTGGTTTACCTATATAAAAATGCTTGGAAATAAATACTGAGCTTTTCTGAGATGTCTAAACAAAACTTTTATAAACTGTATGCTTGGATAACTTTGCTGATTAATTAAATAATTATATGGGGACTTTTGTTTGCTTGTAATTGTAGCGAGAAAGACGGAATTCCGTCGACGATACTTTGATATCTGGCGATTCAGTTTGCGCGGAACCTGTTCCTTTAAATCCGTTAAACGAAAACGATTCTGTTTCAATGTGTCAAAATTGCACGGAAGGTAACGCATATACTTCAAGTAAGTAAAGCTGCATGTATTCAGATGGGCTTTTCTTATGTTGTTATGTTATGGCTTGCCAATCAAAGAAGGCGTTAGAAATAGCTTTTTCTTTCATTGCTAGATGTAACAAAATAACAAAGTAGAGCTTATCTGAACACAGCTTAATATGAGTGTGTTGTTCCTTTCCTTTCTTTAAAGTAATAATTGTTCTTATGTAATTTACAGTTGTTAAATCTGAAGTAGAAATAGAAGACGAACCCGAATACGTGTTACAAAATACGGAAAACTCTTTAGCCTTTCTTGATTCCGACGAGAGGATCGGAGAAGAAGTGGAGTTGATGCCACAACGTACGTGTAAATCTCGTAATTGGAGTTGCATAGTCACTGAAAAGTAACATTTTGTACGCTCGATTACTAAACAACATTTCTATTCTTGTATTGTCGAATGAAAAATTATACTTTTTATATCGTTTAGGCGAAATATCTAATGGGAGTGACATAGCCATACACTTTGCAAATGCTCTGGCAGCCTGCGGTCCGACTAATTTTCCATTAGGCGACAGAGATACGGAATTTTGGGAAGAAGGTAACAAATGCAGAAGGAGTTATTATGTATTTAATTAAAGTGTAATTTTAATAATTGTTATAATTTTGTAGACGGCTACGGTTTCAGCAGAAGAGACGGAAAATTCGAATGCAGAATATGCAAGAAGACGTTTGTCTCTAAAAACAATTTAGCATTTCATATAAAGACGCACGTGGCGAAAAAGCCATTCAAGCGCAAGGTAAATGAATAATGGAATTTTCGGTGCTTGTCGTCATTATTGCATTAATGAATGTAGTGTAGCAATTGGGAATAGCAAACATCCTCAGTTGAGTATTATTGACAATGCGCTAACACAAACTATTGCTACTGAACAAACAATACGACTGCGGTAGTCGAGGTGTTTTTCTTTTTTATTTCCAGCTCTTATATCATAACACATAAACACTCTTTTCACACACACACACATAAAGTACTGTAATCATGGCAATTTGACTTCTGGTGGTTTGCAAATCTTGACATTTTGACAGCCAGCGAACCCAGAAAAGTAAAAAAACAATTATAAAAGAATTGTGTGTGTGTGTGAAAAGAGTATCTCTTGGGATGGGGTAAAGATTAAGAAACTAAATTTGGTATGGTAACTTGTATATAAGGGGCAATGATGCTATTAAATTTTGGAGTGCAGAACTCTAGTTATATTCATTTTATCTTATTATAGAAAGTATAGGCTATTTAATACATGGAAGTATTAGTTACTAGCTATAAAAAAGTGTTTTCTCAATTTCAGCTCGGACACATTGCTCGGTCAGTGACTTAAACATGCAAAACATATTTCCAATAGGGAAAAAAAGAAGAATGAAAAGGAGGGATAAGTATTATTTTGGAATTGTCAACATCGGCAGAGGATACAGAAGCAAGACGAATGAATTCGCATGTAAACCCTGCGTTTCTTTATGCAGCGCTCGAGAAGCGCTTCACAGCGAACACACTGAAACTGGTTTCTAATTGGCCATCACTGCTTCGCTACACTCTCGCTGCATAAAGAAACATAGGGAAACTGGCTACAGCTTTAATATAGTCAATGATTGCTGTTAACAAGATAAATCATCTAGAATTTGATATCCTTTTAGAAAATTATACAAGGACTTAATATGTTACCAAACCAAGCAAAGGAAGAGCTATATGCAGCTTGCATATGAAGAAGCTTCAAAAAACAACAAGAAATAGGAACCAACCCAGTTTATTTGTTTATTTTAGACTATCCACTTTTTTATTTCTTGTGAAACAACCAATGTGCTGAAAAGGTACATACTTGTCAGTCTGTTAACAGGAAGACTATTATAACTATGCTGTTAAGAGTTTAGAAATTAGAAAAGACGATTTCCACAGATGTTTCGCAGGTCTTGATGTTTGCTTCAAATTGTGGAACTCTGTACGAAAAGGTTTGGTTACTTAAACAGATTAGACACCACACGAGTTCAAATATGAAGTTGATGTATTTGAATTGGAGACACGTCACTCATTTTCTCCACTGTCTTAACAGAGGAGCAGTTAGGGCCTAATTTTATTTCAGAAATGAAAACTACTTTGTTAAATATATATCTATATAAACAGATAACTGGCTTTTTACTTCTAAAACATCTAACAACCTGAATTTTGGTTTTCTAGTCTGTTTTTTTTAAAGAAAATTTGCACCTCAGCTTTTCAAGTTTAGTGATAAGTAACATTTGAAGTACACTTCAGAACAGCAATGTATAGTTCATTTTCCATTTCTTACAGGAGAAATAAGAAACACTATATCAGAAAACTTAATAGTAATTAACGATATCTTCTAACTCAATTACCGGTACTAATTACTTACATTAATGAACCTATAAATCCGGTAACAAATAGCAATTCAATTCTTAAATTAAGATAAAAGGTACGTCATTACACGATAGTACTTATAATTAACAGTCTTGTATTGAATTTATCAAAATTGAAATAGTTTTAAAGAGTGTACCAGCCAAACAATGATGTATCTTGCTAATAAGGGAAAATGCTGTATGCTAACTATTGAAGGATAAATATTAGATAATAGTAAATTATACACACACTTCTAATTTAATAAACTTTAAAAATATAAAGGAGAGGAGCAAAAAGAACATAATAAATGTAACATTGCAAGTTCTGCAGTTAATTTATAACATATCATCAACATATCACTCTTGTTTTCTTGACTTATTGACTTGTTTTTTTGTCACTCGATTAAATGTGAATACTCTCAGTATCAGCCGTCTTGTTTGCTATACAACAATGTTCCAATGAATCGTTCAAGTGTCTGAACAGAAATGCCACCTACAGATGGAAATTAGGCCTGCCAGTATGTATTCTGTATGAATACTATACGTCAATGTTCCACAAAAATCTTGCCTTTCCCAAAAATGTGCTATACGGTGTTGTTCTGGGGTGTACTTCATTTGTAGCAAGTCGGAACAGTGAGGAAATATCAAGATGTGTGACAATGGGAAAGTTTTAAATTTAGGTAGGGAAATGACCGANCAACACATTCAACATATTTACAGGCATTATGATTAGGGGATGACGAGTTAGAGGTTGACAAATAAAATGGTAAATGTAGGATGGCAAGAGTTCATTGTTAGATATTGATAGTGATTAGTGATGACTTGGAGGCTAAAAGAAAGACATGTTAGTGTTATTTTGAACCTATATAAATAAAGGACAGGTGTAGTAGGCCATCAATAAGTCTTTATTCATATTTTACTTTTGATAGTGCAGAATATTATATAAATTACTAAAATACAGTGGGTGTTCGGGTTAATGAACAGAATCAATTCCAAGACTTTGTTAGCTATCTGAATTGTATGTTAACCGATAAATTTATATGGGAATTTGATTAAACCATTCCGGAGACCCACAAAAATAAAAAAATTATATACTTTCTTATTACGTTTATTTATATTTAATAATAAAAATACACATATACACAGTCTTGTATTTTTATCAGTCATGTTATTTATGTTTGTGGGGTGTTAAAGTATCTGTCCAATGTCGATTGCTTTTCCTTCTTCTTTCAGGATATTTCAGAAGTAATTAAAAGCTAGTTTGTTTTTATCCGTATTAAATTTCTATGGCTATTTAAATATATTCGAGGATAAGCTACGGTTTTCCTAATTATATCATCATACATATGTAATGAAACAGTAAGACACAAATTTATTTACTTATTTTATTATTACCTATTTATTAAACAGCACAGAACATAGCAATTGACAGTACATAGCGATATAACAGTTTTAAACATTATAGAAGAGCTTCTTGTCTTGGAAATTGTTGAAACTAATATTTCAAATACTATAGCAGAGATAACAGAGACTTATCACAATGCTAGGTAACATTAAAATGATAGAAGATTGCATTCTGATGATACAAGTGTCATTTTTATGCTACCAGTAGCAGTGTGATAAGTTTTCTGTTATGTCTGTTATACTATTTGACATATTGGTTTAAACAGTTTTTAACCAAATAGATAAACAAACTTCTTGCGTAACGGCGACTCTCATGCCAGCTATCGGCAACCTGAGTCATTAACTGTACTTGAGAGCATAGCATAAGGATCAGTATTGTATTTTATTTATCTTAATATCTTAACTTTCGCTATTATTTTTAAATGATACAAATGTGTGTACGGAGTGTCCCAAAAGTCTCTGTACAGTGACACAAATTAAGCTTGCCAGTAGCTGAGTGAATAACACTAGTAGTGTCATTGGTTTCTCCCTGATCAATGGGCTGTCCAACGTGCAGTGCTCTGGGTTTTTTTCATGTGTCNTGAGGAAAAATTTAGAGTAGGGTGAATACACAGTCCTGACATGCAGTGCAGAATTTAAAGATAAGACAATATATAATATTATATACAGTAATACCTTGACTTACAGTACATCGACTTACGTGAACCCGGAGTTACGCAATTTTCAAATTTCGTCGATTCATCTTTTGTTTGAGCGCCACGCAACTCTTGATTACTCACTCCCCCACACTGTTGTTCAGCTTACATGTTCAGATGTGTCGCACGGAATCGACACATAGCTACAATTTATTTTGTGTTATTTATTTCTCTGTTTGTTATATCTACAGATACTTGAGAAACTCTATGTGGTGATTTCTTGTAACCGTGAACGAATCAAAAGATGAGATTAACGAAAACATTTATTAGCTTACATACATCCAACTCGAATTTTACACAAATTGCAAAATTATACCTTGACTTACGCAAATTTGACTTACGCAGGTATTGCTTGGTCCCACCTATCACATAAGTTTGGGGTATTAGAACAAGAAATGCCATTCTGGCCAGATGAATGAATACAATTGATAACTACCAACGAGATAGCAGCAGACAATATGCATACAAGCTGAGAACAATCAATTACAATGATGATTTACAGTTGAACACAAGTAATGTGATGACACAGTTGTATTCATAACAAGCATTATCCAATTCCTGTTGGTAGATTGGCTGTGTTGTTGTACTCCAATAAGTCTCATGTCCTAACAAACATTAGATATATGCCAATTTTAAGAAAAAAGCCCAAAACGCCATCACTTTTATTTTCTTAATGCTAAATTGTGCATATTTTAATGAATTAATTTGCATTTAGACAACTTAGAAGAATAAACTTGGTATGAATTGTGATAATAAAAAATAATATTTTATATACACCACTTCCCGAGATTTGGAACTGTATTTGGTACATGGGTTGTGTGCATCATATTCTGAAAGCAAGTAAAAGAGCATTGGCATTGCTCATCCTAATGAGATAAAAGTTCCTCATCCAAATGACAGAAAGCAAAGATTATATTTCCGGAGAAAGATAAATCTTGTTAAGAATAGTGGAGGAGCTGATAATTGCTACATCTAACCAACACATTTTGAACATTTGGACTCACGGCAGTGACCTCAATTCCTGGTTCTGGCTGTTATCTAATTTCAAGAAATGTAAGGAGTCAAGGTACAAAGAGTGTCCTGGGATATGTTTCTTGTAGTTTGAGACATTATTGTGTACTGGATGATTATACATAACAGCATAATATATACAACTGAAAAAACTGGATAATAATAATATAGAAACCCCAATAAAACCAAAATGCCGGAAACAGGTCTCAAGTAATTTAATGAGAAAATGAGAAAAAAACATACATTTTCAATATCTTTAAGTTATCGTCATCGGATTGACAGCGTTTCCTAAATGGTACCGTCAAAATATAGAAAGATAGTCAGTCAGAGGAGAGAAAGAGGAATTAACACAACAATTGTTGCACTAATACATCAGGAAAATTTGTTCCTATAATATTTATTTTTAAAAGAAAATGCCTAGCATCTTAATTAGGAATAGAAGCACCCCAGACAGTTTAATAAAACTTGCTGAGCAGGGCTTTATAACAGGCGAACTAGTCATTAAATTGCTTCAACATTTAACTGACTATTTGGAGTTTGCTTTAGAACGGCAAGTCATTTCATTACTTAATAGACACACTGCACTTGCTGTAAGTTTAGATTCTTTGGAGCACAAACCAATGGCATTATTTTATTGCAATTTCCAAGACCATGCAACACAGGCCGTGGCCACTTGGTTGTTGGAGTTTTGGTCCTATACAGAATTTTTTATAACCAAGCACTAGATTGATGGATGACTTGAGACATGGGTAAATGTATTATACAATATGATGATGTTCCATTGATAATATCAGCTTGATACCAAGCTGCAGGTAATACTGTTAGTGCCTTTAAAGCTAATGGATGTGACCCATCAATTTTTTGATTCTGCAGTTGTTGATTCTTTAAATGAACCCAAAGTTTTGAAAGAAGTGGCTAATGATTTTGATAACAAATTAAACATATCTAAATGTACTAACAACCAGAAAAGAGTGGAAAACAAACAAAGCTAAAACCAAAAATGGGAATGCAAAACAGATTATTGAGCTTTTCTAAATAACACATCGGACCATTGTCAGGCATAACTGTATCTGCAAATGGAGACGATTTCTTTTATATATTGTGCGACAATGACTGCACAGAAAATATGATTCAATGCATTGAATGTAATGTATAGGTGCGTGAATGTTGTGGGAGTATATTATCAACAGATGAAGATGATATTTGTTACTGTTCTAAATGTACCTAATTGAAAGTATTTAATATTGAATAATTTAATTAATTAGTTTATTATCAACTGCATTTTATTCCCAAAGCAAACTTTACTATTTAACGAACAAGTACAGCTGTGGAGATAGTTCAGTATGATTCACTCTAGCGGTGGCCAAAATCATATCTTTTGGCAGCTTTTAAAATGTAGGATATGTATATATCAACAAAATAAGTCCTCTCCTTCCGGCCACAGGTCGGTGACCTACTTTCTTCTCAAGGATGGTGTTTGTTCAGTTACGCATTACGCGAGTGAAGGAGAGTCGGAGGGGTCGACGATAAGACGTTGGCAAAGTCCAGTAACAACACCATTTAAAAACAAAACAACAGTTTATTTAACTCGCTAACTAAATAAAAATTTACAAAACTCCTTCGACTTTGCTGATGAGAGAGAGAGTTCACAATAATATTTCATACCTCTGAGATAATTTCGGANATTCATTTTAAGTGTAAACAGTTTTATACAATAAAGAATAACAAATTTGTCATGAACATAATTCTCAAATTATAGAGGAGTAAACAGTTCAGAGATAGAAAAATAAAGACATTGGCTGTACGTAAAGTGTTTGGATGGCAGAAAAGATGGTAAGGGGAAGGAGGAGGGCTTTTATACGTTTTGTGATGGGAAAATTCGTCAGGTGACCAATTGTTTTAGCAGGTGTGGGGTTAAAGTTGGTGTTAGAATGACAACATTATGACAAATTGCGCCGGTAACTGTAAACTATACACGGGTTGATCGTGAGAATGTTTATAGTTAAATAGAAAGAGTTATAAATTTCTCATGCACTTTATATTTCATTTCTGTAGGTTCAAATTCCTCTAGTTAAATGAATTTATTATAAATTTAAAGGATTAACTTCTTTTATGAAATTATATGAACTTTAAATTTCACATGTGTAGATGAATAACCCATGAACGTATTAATCTTTCAAACAACTTTGAAAGCATACGAAGATTTTTATTAGAATAAAAGCACCAACTAACACCTGTAATCCAAATAAAATAAAAAATTTATTATAAGAACAAATGGTTTTCAATTAGACAGTACAAGTTTGCATTTTTCTTAGATATTATCAACATTGCATAGATAAATGATTGCTAACATACAGTTATTTTTAGGATGTGGGATGCATTTAATACAGACTATTTCTTATGTCTTTCAAAAAACTTCTATAAATTTTTACAAGAAATAATTATTTTAACATTGCACCTTACTTACAAGATGAAGCATTATAACAAATTGTTGATATGGAAATTATTTTAATATGTTTTCTGCATTTTGTATGAGAAATTTCTGAAATTTAACATTGCATTTATAAGTTCAAATTGCTTGTATTTCAGATACATGGTGTATATCAACGAACTTGTATTACCAGAGGTAAATGGACAGAGGAGAATCTCCAGAAAGCTATTCGTTGCGTAAAAGAGAAATCGTTAGGGGTTAACGAAGCCAGCAGGATATACGATATCCCTTCGAGAACTTTAAGGAGGTACATACAGCAAGATTTAACCGTAAAACGAAGCCTCGGTCCTTCCTGTTATCTAGGTAAGGAGGCAGAAGAGAGAATAGTTACGCATATCAAAGAGATGCAAAACAATGGAATTTTTCCCACGCAACAAGCAATCCAGGCACTCGCCTTTAATTTGGCTAAAGAAATGAATTTAAAAACGAAATTTAATGTGAACAAACAGTTAGCAGGACGCGATTGGGTCAAAGGATTTATGCGAAGACATCCTGAAATATCCATTTCTAAACCACGTGACTCTACCATAAAAGGAACTGATTCAGATAAAGTTGAACAAATTATTGGCACGTAAGTACAAATTATCAACTGATTTACTAAGTCACTTGGAATTTGCAAATGCAATTTCACTAAAAAAGTGGAAGTTTGCAACATATTTCTTATGAAGTCAGTGAAGTGCCATATCATTTGAAATCTCATAAATATGTGTTTCATTTCTGCAGAGGTTTGTTACGAGATTGACTGAGATGTTTAGCTGTAAGCATTGATNTGTGGCCGAGGTCGGGAAAAACCTGATATGGCACCATGAGATGAGATGATATCACTAGTGAAATCAGGAATTGTTAATACGAACGCGAGTATAAAGAATGGTTCCTTTTACTTCAAATAATGAAATTAACATCATTTCTTACTGTTGATTTTTTTTCTATCAAATACAAATTTTATATGCAATAAAAGAAACTAGACTGTCTTTAAATTTTACACTGGTCACATATAGTATATTGTTGCTCTTTGAATAGCACACTTGACAGTTCGAAAATCTAATACCAGTTATTTTATAAAATGTGGATAAATTATGACTAGAATTAAACGGATCACATTAAATGAAGTATAGGAGAACAGAGGAATTCATTTTAAGTGTAAACAGTTTTATACAATAAAGAATAACAAATTTGTCATGAACATAATTCTCAAATTATAGAGGAGTAAACAGTTCAGAGATAGAAAAATATAGACATTGGCTGTACGTGAAGTGTTTGGATGGCAGAAAAGATGGTAAGGGGAAGGAGGAGGGAGAGGACATATAAAGTAGAGAAAGGTAGGATCCCTCTAAACGGCATACATAAGGCTACAGTACCCTCTATGTCTGATGTTGGCATGCAGTTTTAGGCTGCAAGGCAGTAGTCCCCCGAATGGTCTAAAAGAAAACCCGAGTGTAGCGAACACCAATAATTGAGTGCCACCAGTTAATTAAGTGTAGAAGTTAGTGCCAAAGCGGCTGTTAGTAGGAAGACTTATATCTACTTAATTAATAGTAATAAAATTTAATGCGATTGCGAACCTTAATACTACTTAACTTTTTTTTAGTCTTAGTCTTACTTTTATTCTCATAGTCAGTTAGTATTCGCTATGAGAAGTGTTTCCAAAACTACATATTTTGTTTATTAATTTCTACTTCATTAGAATCGCATTTGAAGGATTCGACGATTAAAATATTGATCCGAATGTCGCGATTAATATTTCCTTTCTTTTCCTTTAAGAGGCCCAAAAATTAAGGCCTCTCGGCCTTAATTTTTTGGCTTACCATTTATATAATTTTTGCCGATTGTATTTCTAAAAGCAGAAACACACCACTCGTACTTGCTCATTTTATCACGATAAAGCTCGCTAAATGTGGCCAAAACATTTGTGTTTAGTTTAAAGTAATATCTCAAAAATTACAATGGTAGAGTTAACAGAAACTGATGCTGGTAACATCAAAGAATAATTGAAAAAAAATTTATAATGTATACATATAATATTGGGTTTACTAACTGACCTGTTCCAGATTTATATCTACCACTCTGTACAGTACTGTGATAATTACATTATGAGCAGGCCTAAATTAATATAATATACGTCCCATTGCGAACATTTTAAAATTATATTACATTTTTAATAGTAACAGTCATGTTTACAGTTGAACTTACAGTGTAGTACAATTATTGTAGCTACTTCACCATTGGGTAAAAATGACAACTGGGATTTACATATTTCATGCTTCACTATTATTAATTTTTTATTTATCATTAACATCTAATATTAATAAATTAACAAACAACTTGATACTAGAGGGAGGCTTACATGCCATCTCTTAATAAATTAAATAATTTGGATTAAACTGGAAGAAAAGAAGTGGCTCTCAAACCTGCAACGTCCGCTTACCGTGCTGATGCGTTGCCGATTACGCTACCCTGACCTCTGGTTTGATCTCGTTTTCCAATATATATAACATTATGCTATAATCATTGTTGGTTACTACGGTGCCGGCTGGGGACGCATCGAGCACCCTTATCGTATATAACTTCTGTTATATAGCCCGATAGCACACGGCAGTAGTTGGTTTTAGTAATATGTTATATTGGGTTCAGTAGTGTTGTTTGTTTATATATACAACATCTAATGTTTTTAAGTGTTCGTAGTATTGTCTGTCTATTAGATAATCTTCATTGTTTAATATTTTAATTGATGTTTTACTTATTTCACAACTCTACTTGTTGCAGTGCATAGCCACTGCTGGTTTTACGTAATGGTATTTAATTGATCATATGTGTTTTAATAATCTAGTACTTAAAGTTCTTCAGTTTCTCCTACATAAATATAACAAGGGTTGCAATTACAATTAAACTCCAGTGTTTTGCAAAATATCAATTGCATTTTAAAGTTGTTTAATTTTAGTTAACATGGAGCCTGTTTTCATTTTTAGGTCTGGTATTACTATAATAATACTTATATATTTCATATTATAATCTGTTTTCTGGTTCACATACAATATTGTTATGTATCTTATTAATAATACCCAAATTGTGGGCTTAGTTCAAGCTCTGAATAATACGTTTAAGACACTAACAGGGCTGTAGAGCATACTGATTTGAACAAAACAGTCGAAGGAACCGAACCTCTGGGAGCGACACTTTGCGAGATATAGCCCCCAAAATTACTCTTCACGTGGCCATGCTTGTTTTAAATATTCAATGCTTTTAACTCATTTTCCTTTGTGTGAGAAAGGCTTGGAAATATTCTTAGAAAAACTTCTATGAACCTCACACTTTGTGTCCTTACCGTACATCGTTCTCCACATCTGGAAATTATTAAATGCAATGTTTCTGCTTTCCTATTCTAACAGAAGAAAGGAAAAGTTAGTTGGTGACCCCAATCTCTGGCTACGGTCACCCATTATTATCCTTCCTCCAGTGCTTCCCTGTCGCCCACTTGCTCTTTTTTGACCGTCTAGAACCATGATGTTCCATAAACTAGCTTGAGTGTTCACAAAAAAGGCTTTAAAGTTTTTATTGCAGATTTACTCCAATTTACTTTATATTTGTAGGCAGTTATGTCTTGCTATTTTATTCAATACAATAAAGTTTATTAGTTTATTGCTTTATTTTTTTGTCAGAATAGAAAACATGCAATTTCTTATAGATTTTTTAATATATTGATGCTAATGTCCCGTTCAATAAAAAGTGTATGAATGGTGTTCCAGGACGTCAGAAAGGTGATCTAGATTTACTCACTGCCCACTTTAGGATCCACTGCTTTAGATTTTTCCTTTCTACAAAAACAATTAAGCTTCTCATTTATTGATAATTTACTTAACAACCTAGCCGTTAGAATGGAACTCAGAACTCCCTGTAATGTTAAATATAAACTTTAAAAATTGAAGTAAGTTGTATAGGAATTTATTATTTGTACATTTATTCAAGAAATTTTTTAGGAAGCATAAGACAAAAGAGATCTGAATTAAAACTTAACAAATATGAAATTATAGCAAAACATGTATGGAATTTTTTTAAATAATAATTAAGAAATTATGATGTATATGTAGGAAAAAGAATAATGATGAAAGATATAGTACAGTTGACCCCTCCCATAACACTGTTGATAATTCCGTTTTATATGAATTCCATGTTGTACGAGTCACTTAAATTTTACAAATACGTGTGCTGGGCTGTGAACGGCTCACGTATTTATAAAATCTAAGTGACTCGTACAACTTGGAATTCATATAAAACGGAAAAATCAACAGTGTTATGGGGGGTCGACTGTANATGATGTATAATTTAATAAATACATTTTTCAACATTTTAATGAAGTTGATTTGATATGTACTTCATATAAAATGAATTGTTTCTTAAAATTCTCTTAAAAATGTTTGAGAAACAAACAGCAATTTAAATATAATAATAGGAAATGGTGATAATTCTACTGTTTCATTAAACAAACCAAACTTACGGACACAAACTGCAACGTATATCAAATAGTTTGTAAGGAAAACAAACATTATTAGTGGACATAAGGTACCGTCATCAGGTTAAGTCCCACTTTCAAATTTACAACAATGTTTAATATGGAATCTGTATTTTCAAAAGGCAGACATAACCTGACAAGGATGACTCAAGCCCACTGAAAATGTTTTGTTTTATAAACTGTTTGATGTATGCCGGAGTTTGGGTGTGTAATTCTGGTTTACTAGTTTATTCAGTTATAGTTGTGGTGTTAATGTTCCGTTAAGTATAAATATTTTCAAAATTTATGCAAAAAATATAATTATTTATTTACATAAATACAAGGTAGAACCTGGTTCCTGGGCAACTTCCCAGAAGCAGAGCTGAACTCCAACCGGGCAGGTCCCCATGTGGCGGATAGAGGAATGTCCATCAGATATGATGGCAAGCTGCAAATACCCAATAAGCAGTCCCGGACCAACATCGGCAGTATGTTTAGGGGGTGGTGGGTTATCAGGTGGCATTGATAACTTGGAAAATGCCACATGACCCATGATGTGCTGTGTCAAGGCAATTTAGGCCGCCATATGCCTATTGCCGGGGTAGGCAGGACTCTTAAGCCTTGGTGGACAACGTGCCTAGGAGAAGAAAAACTCTGATCAGAAACTGTGAGGAAGGCAACGGGAAACCACCTCAGCTATACTTTCCTTGTTAATGGAAAGCAGAAAACCTATTTATCGTACTGGCAAATATGGGACTCATCTCCAAGAGAACGGTGTCATGCCCGGCAGGAGAAGTTATGGGGCTTTCCAGGTCGTCACCACGCAAAACCCCCATAGGAAGAGTTTGAATAGGAACATTCAATGTAAGAACCGTGCTTCGACCAGGTAAGTTGGAAAATGTAAAGAGAGAAATGAAGAGGCAGAATTTGGATATTCTTGGGCTTAGTGAAGTCAAATGGGAGGACAGCGGTGAGTTTTTTAGCGATGAATTCAGGGTTATTTATTCTTGTGGAACTAAAGGAAAGAATGGTGTAGCATTTATTTTAAGTGAGAAGGTAAAAAACTCAGTTGAAAGAATTGAATGCAGAGGTGACAGAATTTTAATGATTAAAATAAAAAGCGATTCCATGAATATGATGATATTTCAAGTATACATGCCTACTGAGGCTATGATGATGAAGAAGTAGAAGAAATTTATGACCAAATTGAAGATATAATAGAAAATGATAAAACTAAGAAATGCCTAATTGTTATGGGAGACTGGAATGCATCTGTAGGAGAAGGAGATGGCAAATTTGGGTAGGAAATAGGAATGAAAAAGGCGAACAACTAGTTGAATTTGCTACCAAGCATCAATTAATAATTGGAAACACATGGTTCAAACAATCCATACGTCGACTATACACTTGGAAAATGTCCGAAGACATTGGAAGATATCAAATAGATTACATTCTTATTCAAAGTCGATTTAGGAATGCAGTCAAGAAAATTCAGACATATCCAGGAGTAGATGCAGATTCTGATCACAACTTATTAACTGCAGATATTGGGATGAACTCGAAAAAAGTTTTGAGAGCCAAAAGAATAAAAAGATGGAATTTGGAAAAGCTAAATGGAAATACTGGATTAAATTTTAACCTCTTAATACCCACCTGTTATTAATTATAATGTAATTAAGCATAAAAAAAATACTTAAAACTAAAAAAAAACGAAAGAAATGCTTTAATTTTGAAGAAAAAGTTTCAAATTTTATTTTCCTTTGCCTTGCCTTTCTGTGAAATTTGACCACTGATGAGTCATTGTTTACACAGCTGGATGACCTTGAGAACAGCTGGAGTCGGATTTCCCGGGGCATTCTCATAGACGTCTGGGGAGGACAAGGGTTTAAAGTAGGGTGAATACTAATTAGGCCTATACTTTCAAATATTTTTCAAAAATTAAAAATTTTATTGCGATTTCCGAACCCCCTCATTAATTAANCAGTATAATTTTTAAACTGTTTGTTTAAATTAGGCAAAGAAATTATAATATTTTGGATTGTTTCAGATAAAAAATGGGGACCCAGATACGATTAAAGTGGATAAATCATCAGTCGAATTTGTTAACTAAGTTCCAGCAATATCTCCTGAGCGAGAGATTTGTAGACGTGACGTTATGCTGCGACGGTATGAGTCTCAAAGCCCACAAAGTCGTCTTGTCGTCGAGTAGTACTTACTTCGAGAAATATTTTTCGGAGGAAGCGCCTCGAGAGACTACCTTTTCTATCAGAGGTGCAAAGTTTGAGGAAATGAAAGCAATTGTGGAGTTTATATATAGCGGTGAAGTCGAAGTTTTCTCTCATTCCCTGACGAATATTTTACGAATTGCACAAAATCTTAAGATTCGGGGCTTAATGGAAGTTGCCGAAGACATGAACTTGACAGTTTTTCCACAGGAAAATTCAGACGTGACTACATATATTGTTCCAGAAATCTTAACTTCACCAAATGTGGAAGAAATGGAAGAAATTACACCCATAAATATTTTTCCAGTGTGTCAAATAAGTGAGGCAAAGGAGACAGAATTTAACACAGAGTCTACCAAGTGCGATTCTTTAGAAATAATTGCAGCAGACATTCCAGAAATTACAAAAGATCCAAAAGAAGAATTTGAGACTCATGACAAAGGCCCAAAATTAAGGAAGAGAGGCAGGAAAAGAAAAATTGTTTCTGTTAACACGACCGGCAAAACTCGTTCTCGGCGGAGAAGCATAACTCAGAATATCGTAAGTATTTTTAAAACATCAATTATTTGATATAATTTTGATTTAATGTACACAGCATGGCCACATGCCTCTGTTACTTTAGTGATGTTGCCCCGAAAGATTATAATTGAAACAATTTTCGCCTCAGTCTTCACGTTGGTTGATTTGCGCATTTTCCTTGACTGCCATTGGCATAGCTGATACAATTATATAAGTTAGTATTTCTGAAAGTGTTGTACTTCAATAAGTTCAAATTATTCGGCACAGGATTGTAAGATGTTTCCTGTACACTTTTGTAGATGCAGCCATTATGTAGTGTTATCCCTTTGTTCTGATCAAGAAAGTACCCACGAGGTGCATTATTTACCACTACAAAATAGCTGCATCTGTACAAAAGTCTATTGGAAGCCATTCCACAATTGTATTGTCATGCTGGTCGCCTCACACAATTTATGCTTAAAATCACTATTCAGTAAAAATTTGTAGGAATAAATTTAATTTGTCACTACATTTTTTAATAGTTACTTTACAAAATTTCTGACATCCAACAGTTTGAGCCTCCTCTAATTTGGACAAAATTATGCGTGGAAACTCAAAATTTTTGCAGCTGCTACACTAGTTTACCAGATGTCACGGGNATATAACGCTATGTACTCTGCCCGAGATATCTAGGGCTTGAGGCTTATGGAAAAGTAGATAAATGCAACCCAGTAAAGAATAAGCATTACTGAGAAAAATTTTTATATAATTACAGATAAAATGTACAGAAAAAATACTTCAATAATTATAATATATACAGAAAAATATATAGGTTACATATGCTTAAAATCTTTACTCAGTACATATTACTTCTAGTGATTGGAGTTTCACGTCAGTAATAACCGAGGATTTATTTAATTTAATAACCTTATAATGTATAACTTACTTAGATATCACCGATTTCTGCACAGAAATCACCTTAAAGTGCGCGCTTTTTACAATCGATTACTTTTCTATGCACACACAGAACAGAAAGTTACGTAGACATTCTATTATGTAAGGTATTAGGAGCGTTACCTAGTAACGTGCTTTTAATGCAGCTAGATATGAAATCTAATGATATACAGTACAACCTTGCACATTAAACAGAATTGTCATTGATTTCTAAATTGCATACAGTTAAATTTCTATTGGCACTTGTAAATCTGTATCTGTTTTTACTTCGACTGGAGAACAGTTAGAAAGATGAAAGTTGAGACCACATGCAAAGAGCTTAGGGGCAGGAGGCCCAAATTACTAATATGTAAACTTCTAGTCTGGACGTTCGAAAGTTTAGCTAAATAAACTGTATTACTCTGTTGAGCTTGGGAAAAGTACCATGTACAGTGGCAACACACTACTTAAATCTTATGCATACATATGTTATGTTAAATTAATTAAATGTAAAATATGATTAAGAAATCGAGAAACGAGCAGCTTAATTTAACATTTTCAGTTTCGTGGAATAAACCATCCTCGGGTGTAAATCAGTTTGAACGTATTTTATTAATTAAATAAACATTTCTCAGCGATGGAAGGTGTTTAATGTTTTATTAAGTGTAATTTATTTATCCATAAACATGGTTTTGGAGTCGACCCCCCTATAACACTGTTGATTATTCCATTTTATATGAATTTTATGTGCGAGTCACTTAGATTTTACAAATACGAGAACCGTTCACAGCCCGGCACACGTATTTGTAAAATCTAAATGACTCGTACAACATGGAATTCATATAAAACGGAATAATCAACCGTGTTATACGGAGTCGACTGTATATTTTTCAATAAAAAGAAAACATTCGATCTAGCGCTCTTGCAGTGATTGCAGTGCCGCTGGTGGTAACATTTGTCTCTAGTTGATTTTAGCAACGAGCGAAGATAGGAAGTGGAAAGACCCAAGGACTTTAAACTAACAAGGATAGCCAGATCCCGTATATTTATTAGCGTGACCTTGGATCTATGTGACGTCACAGCAAGTCCTCTACTTCAACATGACAGACCTTTCAAATAACAAAATACGATAAAATATTAAATCATTTCTTAATTAATTATTAAATTACTACTAAATGTAAACTACTGTAGAATTTTCGGATTTANGGAATTTTTGGAAGAAGGTAAATGCGGAAGGAGTTATTATGTATTTAAAGTGTAATTTTAATATTTGTTATAATTTTGTAGACGGCTACGGTTTCAGAAGAAGAGACGGAAAATTCGAATGCAGAATATGCAAGAAGACGTGCGTCTCTAAAAACAATTTAGCTTTTCATATAAAGACGCACGTGGGGAAAAAGCCATTCAAGCGCAAGGTAAATAAGTTATGGAATTTTCGGTGCTTGTTGTCATTGCATTAATGAATGTAGTGTAGCAATTGGGAATAGCAAACATCCTCAGTTGAGTATTATTGACAATGCACTAACACAAACTATTGCTACTGAACGAACAATACGACTGCGGTAGTCGAGGTGTTTTTCTTTTTTATTTCCAGCTCTTATATCATAACACATAAAGGTACTGTAATCATGGCAATTTGACTTTTGGTGGTTGTCAAATCTTGACATTTTGACAGCCAACGAACCCAGAAAAGTCAAAAAAATTAGAAAAGAATTCTGCGTGTGCATCTGTGTGTGTGAAAAGAGTATCTCTCGGAATAGGGTAATGATTAAGAAACTAAATTTGGTATGGTAACTTGTGTTTAGGGGGCATTGATGCTATTAAATTTTGGAGTGCAGAACTCGAGAATCTTTTGTCATATTTTGATTAGGGTCATGCTTACAGACAATTTTACTTATTATTGAAATTTAGTTTATTTAAAAACTCATTTTTACTGTTAAAATTAAACTATTTGTTTATTTATTGTATTTAATGATATAAAAGCTATTGTCTGTGTGTGAATTCTCTATAACTTGTCTAATGGATGCAAAATTTTAGTTATATTTTTTTTAATCTTTCTATGGAAAGTATAGGCTATTTAATATGTGGAACTATTAGTTATTAGCTATAAAAAAGTGTGCTTTCGATTTTAGCTCGGTCATGTTACTCACTCTGAAGTGACGTTGTTTATTTAAAGTTTTATTTCTAAGTATTTTGACAAATGCCATTAGTTACTAGCTAAATGAAGAAGTTGAATAAAAAAATTGAACAAGTCAATGAGTTTACGTACCTGAGAAGCATAATTACTTCAGACAGAAGGAGTGAAAGAGATGTTGCAGTGAGAATAGCCCAAGCAAAACAAGCATTCTATAGCGAACGGCAGATGCTAACATTGAAGAATATTTCAATCGATGCTAGGAAGCAGTTCATTAGGAGGTTTCATCTGGAGTCTAGCACTGTATGGCTGGGAGACATGGATGCTTTGAACACAGAGAAAGCCTTTGAGATGTGGTGTTGGCGAAGAATGATGCGAGTGTTGTGGACAGAGAGAAAGAGAAATGAGGATGTACTGTAGAGGTAACAGAGGAGACAGATTTTGAGAATGATAGAGGAAACGAGAAATGATATGAATGGCTGCTTAGTTTGATGATTGTTTTATTGGAAGGAAAGATAGAAGGCAAAAGAGGACACAGAAGACTTGGAGCAGAATATCTGAACGAGTTATTACAGAAAAGGCGTCATCAATAGGTAAAACAGCTAGCTGAGTGAAGAGAGAAGCTATAAGACTATATAAATACATATTTGCCGACCAACCTTTGGTTCAGGAGAAAGAGAGCTGCATTGTGTTGCATTACAATAAGTTTTCAAAAACACTTTTTAATACTGATTATGCAACATTATATTATTCAATTAGAAGTAAAGATCTAACAAGCCTGTTATTTAAAGTGTATTATCATGCATTGAAGTAATGTACAATAAATAAAACTTAACTCTTTGACAAGGTAATTGACTGTTAAAAATACAACAACCAACTGAGGCCTTTTAAAAGCTTTTAAATTTAACCTTATTTTATTTTTTAGTGTTTTAAAATTTTGCTTTCTTTTAGCAGCATGAAATTAAAAAGACAGGCATTTTGTTGAAAATTTCTGAAATTGTTTATGGAGGTTGTGTACAGTAATACCTAGACTTACGTTACCCCGACTTACATGAACTTGTAGTTACGCAATTTTCTACTCTCGTCGATTCGTCTTTTGTTTGAACGCCATGCAACTTTCGATTACTCACCCCCCCCACACTATTGTTCAGCTTATATGTTTGGACGTGTAGTGCGTGGAATCGACACATATCTACAACATATTTTGTACTATTTATTTTTGTGTTTGTTATATCTACGGAGACTTGACAGCTTCTATGTGGTGATTTCTTGCAACCGTGAACGAATCAAAAGACGAGATAAGATTAACAAGAACATTTATTAGCTTACATACATCCGACTTCGATTTTACACAAATTGCAAAATTATACCCCAACTTACGCGGTTATCGCTCGGTCCCATCTATCGCGTAAGTTCGGGGTATTACTGTATTAGGAGAAATGATGCTATTAAATTTTGGTGGTTAAAGGTGCAGGAGTGGAGAGATAGATGGGGTCACTTGTATCTTGAGTGCGTACGACTTAACCGCCTGTTTAATTAATACGTATCAGGAAAATCAAGGAAGAGTTTTGCCAGCACATTTTGATACTTTTTTCCCTTTCTGTGCAATTACATTGGTTGTTTTGTGTATATTTCTATTTATAAATTTGAAATTAAGTGTTTAATAAATTTTTTGTTATTTTAAATACTTTACTGAGGTGTAAAATAATAAGGACCATACTATTCTTCACAATGATGAGGAAGGGATGTGGTAGTGACATGAGAGCTTACTGTTTTAAACAATGCTAAAGATACTAAAGTTAAAAGTGAAATAGTTAGTAAAAAATTTGGTTTAAGCAGTGCCTTAAACATGCAAAACATATTTCCAATAGGGAAAAAAAGAAGAATGAAAAGAAGGGATAAGTGTTATTTTGGAATTGTTAACTTTGGCAGAGGATACAGAAGCAAGATGAACGAATTCCCATGTAAACCCTGATTTCTCTATGCAGCGCTCGAGAAGCTCTTCACAGCAAACACGCTGAAACAGGTTTCTAATTGGCCAATACTACTCGTGACGTCATTTCGCTACACTCTCGCTGCATAAAGAAATGCGGGGAAACTGGCTACAGCTTTAATATAGTCAATGATTGCTGGTAAATCATTGACTATGGACAAGGTAAATCGTCTAGAATTTTATATCTTTTTAGAAAATTATACAAGGACTTAATATGTTACCAAACCAAGCAAAGGAAGAGCTATATGCAGTTTGCATATGAAGAAGCTTCAAAAAACAACAAGAAATAGGAACCAACCCAGTCTATTGGTTTATTTTAGACTATCCACTTTTTTATTTTTTGTGAAACAACCAATGTGCTGAAAAGGTACATACTTGTCAGTCTGTTAACAGGAAGACCATTATAACTATGCTGTTAAGAGTTTAGAAATTAGAAAAGACAATTTCCACAGATGTTATGCAGGTCTCGATGTGTGCTTCAAATTGTGGAACTCTGTATGAAAAGGTTTGGTTATTTAAACAGATTAGACACCGCACGAGTTCAAATATAAAGTTGACGTATCTGAATTGGAGACACGTCACTCGTCTTCTCCACTGTCTTAACAGAGGAGCAGTTAGGGCCTAATTTTAATCTAGAAATGAAAAATACTTTGTTAAATATATATATAACTGGTTTTCCACTTTTAAAACATCTAACAACCAGAATGGTTGCAGATTCTAGCATCTTGTTTTTATGCCAAAAACTTCTTATTTACGTGAGCATTTGTTGGTAAACTGGACAAAAAGTATTCAATAACTGCAATGATACTTGAGTCTGCTGTGTTAAAGGAACTCNAAATATTAAAATAAATCACTTCGTTAATCACAAAATTGGACGAATATTAAAAGCGAAAACTAAACACGTGCACACCCTACTCTATGTAAACAGAGAGGTCAGGACTCGTTCTGACGTCACTAACTTGCCATTCCTGGCTATCCTTGTAGTATATTGTCCTTGGGAAAGACCAGTTAATACCGACTCTGACGGATATGACATCGGAACATCATCTTTTTTTGACGTTTAAATAAAATTAATACTCCATTTTAATCAAAATTTATTAAACTTTAGATAAAGTGTAATTATAAAACTGCTTTTAGCTTTAAAAATATTAAAACCCTTACGAAGATATTAATTATTATTAAGTTATCTTCTTAAAAGTTAATCAAATAGATTTGATATTAATAACCGAAATGAGAATCTAGTTATTAATATATACGTAAATTGAAGAAGTTGTAAAAACGAAATTATCAATACACAAATACGAAAATAAGCGACGAACTGGAGGTCAAGTTCGCAGATGACATACGGGTGTAAATCAGTTTGAACGTATTTTATTAATTAAATAAACATTTCTCAGCGATGGAAGGTGTTTAATGTTTTATTAAGTGTAATTTATTTATCCATAAACATGGTTTTGGAGTCGACCCCCCTATAACACTGTTGATTATTCCATTTTATATGAATTTTNCTCTGTTCTGTTCATTCATACATATTGCTGTAAAATTATTTTCTACGCTCGAGGAAATTGATTTGCCTACCGAGAAGTAGTGGGATATTTTTAACATGCCAAAAACCAGTTGGATGCATTCGCTTTAGAGAAAGTGGAATACACCCAAAGCAATAATCTGGATATTCAAATTATATTTGCAAAGCTCTGCAGTCACAAAACCTGGAGTTTTTAGTGAACATCAAATATGCTTCTCTCACATTCTCCAACATGTTAATCTCATGTTTTATTGACTTATTGACTTGTTTTATGTCACTCGATGAAATGTGAATACTCTCAGCATCAGCCGTCTTGTTTGCTATACAGCAATGTTCCAATGAATCGTTCAAGTGTCTGAACAGAAATGCCACCTACAGATGGAAATTAGGCCTGCCAGTATGTATTCTGTATGAATACTATACATCAATGTTCCACAAAAATCTTGTCTTGCCCAAAAATGTGCTATACGGTGTTGTTCTGGGGTGTACTTCATTTGTAGCAAGTCGGAACAGTGAGGAAATATCAAGATGTGTGACAATGGGAAAGTTTTAAATTTAGGTAGGGAAATGACCAACATTTTATATCACGGTTGAGACTGCTGTCGACTTTACTGCAAATTTTATAGTGTTTAGGTTAGGACCATTGTTAAATGTACTGTACAGTACATGCATACTGTACATATCGTGATTTCTTACAGGTGAGAACTTTTCGAGTTTGCTCTTTAATTAGGGAAAAACTATGTGATTGTATCTATGGGTGTCAGCTGAGGGCATTGCTTTTGTTTACTCCAGTCTATCAGCACTAAATGAGTCTTTTTCCATGCCAATTGTGGGTTCAGCGGCGGGGTGGTTTGCGATGGGATCTAATATGTCCATGACAGACTACCTGTTAAAAGTTTTTGGGCTGTTTCAAATGCCTGAATATGATGCTCTCTCCCGGAACTGTAGGCGGGTGTCTTAACCACCTCAGTTGTCATAACTTGCACCAAGAATCTTTCCTTTTTAAGATTCCTGCAGAGAAACATACTAATGAACTATTACCTTGAGTAATGACATATATTATTATATAAAGGAGAAACTGGCTGTCTGAGAGGACTTAGCCTAGAAAGAAGGTGAGGATAAGGTAAGAAATGGGGTATGTGGGAAAAGAGAGTGGAAGGGAGTGAAGGTTAAGATTAATAATAATAGGAGGAGAAAAGGTGTAGAAAATAGCTGAGGAAGAATTTAGAGTAGGGTGAATACACAGTCCTGGCATACAATGCAGAATTTAAAGATAAGACAATATATAATATTATATTCAACAAGAAATGCCATTCTGGCCAGATGAATGAATACAATTGATAACTACAGTAATACCCCGAACTTACGCGATAGGTGGGACCGAGCGATAACCGCGTAAGTCGGGGTATAATTTTGCATATAAATACATACAAATAACACAAAATAAATTGTAGCTATATGTCGAACACGTCTGAACATGTAAGCCGAACAATAGTGTGGGGGGAAATGAGTAATTAATAGTTGCGTGGCGCTCAAGCAAAAGACGAATCGACAAGTTTTGAAAATCGCATAACTCCGGATTCGCGTAAGTCGGGGTATTACTGTACCAACGAGGTAGCAGCAGACAATATGCATACATATTAACAAGCTGAGAACAATCAATTGCAATGATGATTTACAGTTGAACAAGTAATGTGATGACACAGTTATATTCATAACACTTGTATTCAAAGTTCAGCAGAATTCGGCGAGTACGTCCGAAGATCTGAAAGTGGAAAGAAGTTTCCATATTTGCTCTACAACGCCCTTAGTTAGGAGTACGTCAACATATTCCAGATGAGGAAGACGTAGTCCATACAAGCTCCTGAAGACCAACGCCCTTAATCGTATCCTATCGAGTCTAGTAATGAGTTCAGTTAGAAACATAGAAGAAATATTTAATATTGTGCCTATCAAGACCTCTCCATGAATAGAAGTCAGAAAACTGATGAAAGGAAGTAAAAGCCACAAATTAAGAAGATAAAGTCAACTAAAAGGTTGTATGGTTATCATAAATTTGTCAGCTCTCTCTCTCTTGGCGCGTATATTTTTGATTTATTCGTTGTCTCAATCGATTGTTTTTAACTATTTAGCTATTTTCTATTTTTGTATGATTTTGTTTATTTTAGTTTATTAAACTTTTCTTTATTATTGTTTAAGAAATGTCTCTTCATTATTATCTGAATCGGATCTCCACACGCGTGTTTGTCCGCAGAACGATAAATAGATAAACTGGTGTCGGCATCCTGACATAACGAAGAAGGTGAATTCGCCATCACCTAATTCCGCTTTAAATTTCTTTTATCTGTAAGTTCCTTTGCACTCGATTTTCCTTAGAGTGAGAAAAGCCATTCTTGTAGACGACCCGAGAACTAGTTTTACAAACTAGAAGCCGATTAAGTGGTACCAACATCTTAGTAGAGAGGTATCCCCGGTTACGATCTCACATTTCGTGTAGTTTGCGACACTACTGCTGTACTGGATGATTACACATAGCAGCATAATATACCCAACTCAAAAATTTAAATACAGATCTTCATGCATGATGGAAGGAGTCTCTATCTTTGAAATTTATGGCAACGTTTTTCTTATGAGATTTTTATATCTCCAGTGTTTGGGTGTTGGGTGTTCCGTGGCTAGGATGGCTAAAGTGGTAGTGTTTTATCGAAGACTGCTGGTCTTTTCATTGTCGCTGAGGGACAAATAGTGGCTCTGACATATTCCAATTGTTGGTTCAGGGTGTTGTCGGTGACTGGAATGGTGTAAATCCATGGTAAAAGAATTCATTGGTAACATGTAGATGGTTGGGCTTTATCTAAAGGTGACAGATATATTGTATATACTTTAACATTCATTTTAAGTTATGATAAAGGTTTATAAAATGCCCAAGCATTTCCTAAATGGTACTGTCAAATTATAGAAAGATAGTCAGTTAGAGGAGAGAAAGAGGAAGTAACACAACAATTGTTGCACTAATGCATCAGGAAAATTTGTTTCAACAATATTTATTTATAAAAGAAAATGCCTAGCATCTCAATTAGGCACAGAAGCACCCCAGACAGTTTAATAAAACTTGCTGAGCAGGGCTTTATAACAGGCGAACTAGTCATTAAATTGCTTCAACATTTAACTGACTATTTGGAGTCCGCTTTAGAACGTCAAGTCATTTTATTTCTTAATAGACACGCTGCACTTGCTGTAAGATTAGATTTCTTGGAGCACAAACCAATGGCATTATTTTATTGCAATTTCCAAGACTATAACACAGGCCATGGCCACTCGGTGTTGGAGTTTTGGTCCTATACAGAATTTTTGATAACCAAGCACTAGATTGATGGATGACTTGAGACATGGGTAAATGTATTACACAATATGATGATGTTCCATTGATAATATCAGCTTGATACCAAGCTGCATCTATAGGCAGTGGTGATATTCGAAATATTTAACAAAGGGTTCACTAACAGAAAATTTTTCCGTAACAGTTTTTTTTCGATCAAATGGTGCACCGGAAGGCACTAGTTTAGTAGTGTTACAGAGTATAATACGTATATTTTAATATATTTTTTAAAAGAATCAAAACCATTGAGAAATGTTACGTGTTTAACAAGGTTTGGAAAACTTTGAAAATGTTAACAACGGGTTCGGCCGAACCTGTGCGAACCCGCTGAATATCACCACTGTCTATAGGTAATACTGTTAGTGCCTTTAACGCTAACGGATGTGACCCATCAATTTTTTTGTTTTTTAATGATGCAGATTCTGCAGTTGATGATTCTTTAAATAAACCCAAAGTTTTGAAAGAAGTGGCTAATGATTTTGATAACAAATTAAACATATCTAAATGTACTAACAACTAGAAAAGAGTGGAAAACAAACAAAGCTAAAACCAAAAATGGGAATGCAAAACAGATTATCGAGTTTTTCTAAATAACACATTGGACCATTGTCAGACGTAACTGTATCTGCAAATGGAGACGATTTTTTTTATATATTGTGCGACAATGACTGCACAGAAAATATGATTCAATGCATTGAATGTAATGTATAGGTGCGTGAATGTTGTGGGAGTATATTATCAATAGATGAAGATGATATTTGTTACTGTTCTAAATGTACCTAATTGAAAGTATTTAATATTGAATAATTAAATTAATTAGTTTATTATCAATTGCATTTTATTCCCAAAGCAAACGTATTAATCTTTCAAACAACTTTGAAAGCGTACAAAGATTTTTATTAGAATAAAAGCACCGACTAACACCTGTAATTCAACTAAAATAAAAAATTTATTATAAGAACAAATGGTTTTCAATTAGACAGTACAAATTTGCATTTTTCTTAGGTATTATCGACATTGCATAGATACACCATTGTTACACACAGTTATTTTTAGGATTGGGAGAATAGGTGGATGCATTTAATACAGACTATTTATTATGTCTTGCAAAAAACTTTTATATATTTTTGCAAGAAATTATTATTTTAACATTGCACCTTACTTACAAGATAAAGCATTATAACAAATTGTTGATATGGAAATTATTTTAATGTATTTTCTGCATTTTGTATGAGAAATTTCTGACATTTAACAATGCATTTATAAGTTCAAATTGCTTGTATTTCAGATACATGGTGTATATCGACGAACTTGTATTAACAGAGGTAAATGGACAGAGGAGAATCTCCAGAAAGCCATCCGTTGCGTAAAAGAGAAATCGTTAGGAGTTAACGAAGCCAGCAGGACATACGATATCCCTTCGAGAACTTTAAGGAGGTACATACAGCGAGATTTAACCGTAAAACGAGGCCTCGGTCCTTCCTGTTATCTAGGTAAGGAGGCAGAAGAGAGAATAGCTACGCATATCAAAGAGATGCAAAAGAGTGGAATTTTTCCCACGCAACAAGCAATCCAGGCACTCGCCTTTAATTTGGCTAAAGAAATGAATTTAAAAACGAAATTTAATGTGAACAAACAGTTAGCGGGACAGAAATGGGTGAGAGGATTTATGCAAAGACATCCTGAAATATCCATTTCTAAACCACGTGACTCTACCATAAAAGGAACTGATTCAGATAAAGTTGAACAAATTATTGGCACGTAAGTACAAATTATCAACTGATTTACTAAGTCACTTGGAATTTGCAAATGCAATTTCACTAAAAAAGTGGAAGTTTGCAACATATTTCTTATGAAGTCAGTGAAGTGCCATATCATTTGAAATCTCATAAATATGTGTTTCATTTCTGCAGAGGTTTGTTACGAGATTGACTGAGATGTTTAGCTGTAAGCATTGATGATCTGCATTATATATATATATCAAATTGTATATATATATATATATCATATTCATTTGATATATAAAGTGTGCAGGGTAATTTGAAACTCGCAGTGCAAGTTTACAGATGTGGCAGAGAACATAAAACAAACCGTATCTAAATAGGATTTTACAACCGGAAATGCCTTCGTAATGTGCTAGAAGGTGTTGTTAGCCAGCAGTGCATTTGGACAGGTTGTTCTTTCTCATTTGAGATACTGACGTTGCGCACCGAATAAACATTATTTTACGAATACACTTTGTGTATAGTACAGCTGATGGAAATAGATGATACACTGAATGATTTTATTGTAGTCTTGTTATTACTACATCTTTTTAAATTAACCTAACAAATATGTCATGAAAAAAAGTGTTTATTTTGTAATACCCATTAAATCTTTGTAGCGATTTTTGAAATTGTATAACAGATTTCCTGTTACACAATTTCAGTAATTACGATAAACATTGCTTAAACTTGTGGTCCTAAAACTATCCTAAAGTTAGAGAAGATGGGAATATGGGTGAGAGAGAAGAAATTTGAAGGGTGAAAGTGCACCTATAAGCTCAAAATAGTGGATGAATGCAATGATGTTTTCTTTGTAAATGTAAAACGGGGACGTTTGATGTTGACAGTCCTTCTTGTCATCGAATTTTCTTTATGTTAATGATTTTTTTGGGGGGGTCCAAGTCTTGTATAAATTTCCTTGTCGACACAACTTACCTTTTTCTCGAGCCTTTCTTCTGTAAGGATTATCCTTTCAACCACAGTCCGGGTGTTGATGGACGGGGCTTGGGACTATGTAAACTGAACAGATATACAAACACGCGATCAATGGCTTATATTATTAGATGCTTGTTTACGGTGGGATTTAATAATAGTATTATTTGAATAATCTTATCATTATTTTTTAAGTTTTTAAAATGTCCAAAATCAATAATCATTTATAAAATTCAAAAATCGTAAACGTATATTTTGCTAATGTGTTAGACCTACCAATGGCCAAGCAGTTTTTCTTCCCTGAACACTGGAAGTTCGGTTGTGAGTTCGATTTTACATTTTTAATCAGGGCTGTGGAGTCTCTAAAAAATCTACTGACTCCAACTCTGACTCCGACTTTTCCTTATCATTTGACTCTGACTTTGACTCCGGCTAAAACACCAAAACTCCACGACTCCGACTCCATCTCAACAGCCCTGCCAGGGCTGTGTAGTCGCGTAGAAATGTATTGACTCCGACTCCGACTTTTCCTTACCATCCGACTCCGACTCCAGCTAAAACATCAAAACTCCACGACTTTGACTCCGACTCCACAGCCCTGTTTTTAATATTACAAGGTAATTAGCATCAATTACGAGGTGTCGTGTTTCATCTTTGCTCCCGTTCGAGTTTATTGTCCTAAACACGCGCAGACATTTGTGTTTACTTGTACTGATGTTTTGGCTTTTATTTCCTCTGCTTTGTTACAGAAGGTGGGAAGACGGGCGTCAGGTCATGGCTTACCTCACTTTTTACCACAAATTTCCTTACCTCGAATGCTTTATTTTTTTTTGGTCAATTATAATTATTGCTAATTATTTTTTTTCATGGATTTTCATATTTATGTGCTATCTAAAGTTTCACATATGTTTTAAATTAGGTATTACGCATTTATGTTTTCTCTTTCGATTTTTATATATAAAATAAAATAAAATTCAAAAATTAATTAAGTATTTTACAAACAGTGTTTTACAATAATTTTTTATAAATTATTTAATTTGATACAACGCCATGCACTCAGAATGGATCGCCAGTTAATCAATATGGCGGCGGGACTGGATTCAATTTCTTTTTCATCCGAGACGTTCAGCAAAGTGTGTTCTTTTAATGCAATTTTCATATTTTTACTGATATATACGCTCGACTACGATTATATTTTCGATTTCTACATTTTCTCTACTATCTAAACGTATAAAATACTTATTGGGAAAAACAGGTTTTTATTTCTATTTCCTGAAATTTGATCTGTAAATGCAAAAATCAACTCGATATAAATAATTTCAACTTTCTCTTATGGACATCAGGGGCCCTATTCTGGTCACTATCTCTGGTCTCTCATCTCTCGCAAGCCGATCGCTGATTGGCTAATCCAAATGATTAGCCAATCAGCGACCGGCTTACGAGAGATGAGAGACCAGAGATAGTGACCAGAATATGGCCCCAGATGTAAATAGCTTCTAGCCATCTAAGATGGTGTACATGTTGAGTAGTGTGGATGACCCTCGCTTGATTGAACATTGATTCTACTTCCGGGTCAGAGGCACAGGTGGCGAGAGCGGTGGAGGTCCTCTGGTGCCGAATATTCACCGCATGCTCTTTAATTCTCACTTCTAGGGAGCGCTTGGTGGATCCTACGTAGACCAGGCTTCTATCGCATCTATGGTCCATGATTGGGATGGTGTACACCCCAGGGAGTTTTTCTTTGTTGGGGTTGTCTTTTCCGTTCCACAAAATGTCAAAAATTGTAGCATATCTTCGGTATGCGATGCGAATATTCTTATCTTAGCTATCCCATTGTATAATGATTTAAGGTAGGGATAATAGGCAGAACCTCGTCTGCTGTTTGGGCAGGGTATACTTCTTGGCATCTGTGCCATCTGTGGATCAATTTGCATCTGTGCCATCTACAGATCATACTGTAGCAATGTTCCTTGGCTATATGCTCAATGCGTTCTAGCTCTGCCTGGAGAGCTATCTGCAACAACGAGTGTGTATGAGCCCTCCTAATTAAGGCAGAACAAATGTTCATGACGAACAGAAGAGTGGAAGACCTTCCAATTTGACTAAGGAGTTGNAATAATAATAAGCGCAGAGCCCAAACGGTTAGGAGTTGAAAGTTGAAATTTGGTACACAGTTAGGGTACGTCACGAAAACGCACACTAAGAAGGGATTTTTCGAAATTCCCCCCCAGGGGAGAGAGACAGGATTAAAACTTCTATATACATTATGGATACGAGCTCAAACGGTTAGGAGTTGAAAGTTGAAATTTGGTACACAGTTAGGGTACGTTAGGAGAACGCACACTAAGAAGGGATTTTTCGAAATTCTTCCCTACGGGGGAGAAGGACAGAATTAAGGCTTAACACCATCAACAATGGAAGTGCTAAGTAACAATGGAAGTGTCAACAATGGATATGCTACGTAACAATGGAATTGTTAAAAGAAAGCGACGTGCAAGAAGCAGATGCAGTTTTTTTCGTTTTTGTGGAAAATCGAACATATTTTTAGACCCATTTAAAAATTGTCTAATTAGTCTGGAAACAAGGGGACCCAATTCTTGCATTTTGTGAAAACGGGTAAGGTTTACTGTAACGTAATAATCTTTATTTTAGTTATCGTTACTTTTGCCCGAGCAACGCCGGGCCCACCTGCTAGTATATATATAATCGAGACGGGTTGATAATAATAATCAGTGCAAATCCCAAACAGTTAGAAGTTGAAGGTTGAAATTTGGTACACAGTTAGGGTATGTCACCAGAACGCACACTAAGAAGGGATTTTTCGAAATTCCCCCCTCGGAGGAAATGGACAGGATTAAGGTTTCGACAATGGAAGTGCTAAGTAACAATGAAAGTGTTAATAGAAAGCGACGTGCGAGATTTGCAGACAGATGCAGATTTTCGTTTTATGAGAAAAAATCTAACATTTTTTAACCTACCTAAAAATTTTCTAATTAGTCTGGAAACGGGGGGACCTAATTCTTACATTCTTTGAAACGGGTAAGATTGACTATAACGTAATAATCTTAATCTTCGCTATCGTTACTTTTTGCCCGAGCAACGCCGGGCCTATCTGCTATTAATACAAGTAACAAAAAACTAACAAAATAAAATTAATGAAACTGAATATCGCATCGTATAATTGAACAAAAATTAGACAGGTAGTAATTTTTTCAAACAATTAGAATTTTTACACTAACTAATTAAAAATTGATTGGTGGCTAAACCGCACTATAGGCGCGTACCGACAGGTTTGTAGGGCAGAGGGCGCCACCGCTTGACCTTTCTCCTCTGACCTCACTTGGTCCTCGGACACCGATCTGGAGAGACATTTTCGTACGCCGACCTTCGCTTTCGTTACGCCAATCTTCCGGAGTCAGCTTCGACGACGAACGCTCATCTGTACAGTAATTTAACTTAGACCTCTGTAAATAGTCTGTAGTCGCGAGGAAATAAAATATGGTATTTCCAAGGAATCAGTCTCCTCATTAATTTTGTCCGACGAACAAAGGACGTGGAACACGTGGGCGAGATCGGAACTACTATCACACGAGGTAGGATCAAATTCGGACCTATTCTATCGAAACGCTTCGACGGACTTTAGCTCCATCGCTAAACTGGTGACCCGAACGTGATTCAAATAAAGGATACTCAAAGACGAAAATGGACGAGAGAACCGCTAAGCCTATCCCCGAACAAAGGGCCGACATGTTCCTAGCACGTGTCGCCGTCAAGGTGCCGTCATTTTGGAAGCCGGACCCCCGCATTTGGTTCCTTCAGATCGAGGCCTAATTTCGAAACGCCGGAATATCGTCGGATCAAACAAAATTCGATACCGTCGTCAGTTACATCGACGCGGAAATTCTCACGCAAGTTTCGGACATTTTACTCAGTCCCCCTGCGTCGGGGAAATACGAACTTATCAAAGAACAATTGATCTCCGCTTTCGCAGACAGTGAGACCCAGCGCACCAAAAAACTACTGACTGAAATGGAACTCGGCGATCGCAAACCCTCCCAACTACTCTGCGAAATGCGTAACCTGGCTGACGAAAAAATCGGCGAGAATTTTTTGAAGACACTGTGGCTCCAACGCCTACCGATCAACATGCGGAGCATCCTATCGGTTAGTAGTGATGAACTATCAAAATTAGCTGCTATGGCCGACCAGATCTGGGAACTCAGCCCTGGACCAACGACAGTACAGCTTACGCTTACTCCCGTAGCATCGGGGAGCGCACACTGTAGGGAGCCGCTCCCTGCCTTGGACACCCTTCAAAAGCAAATATCAGAACTGTCACTGCAGGTAGCCGCACTTAACGAGCGGATATACCCACGCATGAGACAAAGAAACATCCGACCCAGATCAAGAGAGAGATCACGCAGTCGACGAGCCTCTAACAGCAATATCTGCTACTACCACGCCACATTCGGGAGAAATGCCTACAAATGTCGCCAACCGTGCAACTTCCAAGATCAAAAGGTTGCAGTCGAGGAAGCGGAAAACTAATTCCCCGTCTCTCTTTGGCGACAGGGACAACGGGGATTGAGCTGAGTTGCCTTTATATAAGTGACAAGGATACAACAACTCTGTACCTCGTGGACACGGGAGCGGACATTTCTGTTATACCTCCAACACCCCACGAAAGGCGCAACTGCAACAAACTCGAGCTTTTCGCAGCCAACGGATCGACAATAAAGACTTATGGCCGAAAGTTACTTAACCTAGATCTGGGATTACGAAGAAATTTTCCGTGGATATTCGTCATAGCCGACGTCCAGCGACCAGTCATTGGCGTGGACTTTTTATCCCACTTCAACCTGCTGGTCGACAGCAGCCGCCATCGTCTCATTGACGGGGTTACGAATCTTCACACGAACGCCAAATTTCTTCCCTACGACACATCCCGAATCCAAACACTGGAAGACGTCTCTATTTACCAAAAAATCCTTGCCGAGTATCCAGACTTAGTGCGGCCATCAATTACCAACAGCAAGATCAAGGAACACAACATCGTACACTTCATCGAAACCAAGGGCCCACCTGTGTTCGCCAGACCACGGAGACTTTCGGCAGAGAAACTAAAGGCAGCCCATAAGGAGTTCAAATTTATGCTCCAACAGGGCCTATGCCGGCCTTCAAAAAGCAGCTGGGCCAGTCCGCTACACCTGACACAGAAAAGGTCGGTAGATTGGAGACCGTGTGGGGACTACAGAGCGCTCAACAGCATCACCATTCCGGATAGATACCCAATTCCATTCCTCACTGACTGCAACCACATCCTACATAATATGAAGATCTTTTCATCAATAGACCTGGTACGCGCTTACCAGCAGATACCCGTGCACGAACCCGACATTCCTAAAACCGCTATCATTACTCCATTTGGCCTGTTCGAATTTCCTTTTATGACTTTCGGACTACGGAACGCAGCCCAAACCTTTCAGCGGTTCATGAATATGGTGCTCACTGGCCTTCACTTCGTTTTCTGTTACCTGGACGACATTCTTGTTGCTTCTCCGGATCAAGAAATGCATCAACAACACCTTCGCACCCTCTTCAGCAGGTTAAACGAGTACGGGTTATGTATTAACCCCGCTAAGTGTACTTTTGGCGCCACGTCTATAGAATTTCTGGGCTACAGGATAACGCCATAAAGCCTACGGCCGCTCCAAGCGAAAGTGGAATGCATCCAAAATTTCCCGCGACCACAGCACTACGACGGTTCCTCGGAATGATAAACTTTTATCATAGGTTCATCCCAGGATGTGCCACGTTGCAGGTTCCTCTCAACGCCATGTTAAGTGGCCATATAAAAAACAGCACCAAACCCCTCATCTGGTCGGAAGAAGCAAATAGCGCCTTCAACAACATGAAGGACGCCTTAAGCAGAGCCACCCTCCTCACCCACCCAGCACCGGATGCCAAATTTTCCTTAACCACAGACGCTTTCAGACGTTAGCATTGGAGCCGTCTTACATCAAGAGCTCGACGGCGTTAAACAACTCCTCAGTTTCTTCTCCAGGACCCTCACCAAGTCTCAAATAAAGTACAGCACATACGACCGAGAACTGCTAGCCATCTACTCCGCCATCAAGCATTTTCGGCACTTAGTGGAGGGGAGGCCATTCGTTATCTATACTGATCACAAACCCCTTACGTTCGCCTTCCTCCAAGATTTGGCCAAAGCGTCGCCTCGTCAACTCCGCCAATTGGACTATATATCGCAGTTTTCAACCGACTTACAGCATATATCCGGCAGGGACAACGTCGTTGCAGACTCCCTGTCCCGCATAAACA